CCCAGGGTCATGGGAAAGGCTGCGCACGGGGACAAACCAAGGGCCACCCAGCGCCTGTCCCCTCCCGGAGCCGCCACGGCGATGGGGATGGGGACGAGCCACCAGGGCCACATGTCCCCATCCCTGTCCCCGTCCCCATCACCCCATGGGACCTACCCGATGCAGGAGTGCCTCCGGGACGGGCAGCGGCTCCCCGGCTGCATGCCCCCGGCCCCGCTGCGCCCGGCGCCGCGTCCAGCCCTCCCCACAGCCCCTCGGCCTGCCTCTGCCTCGCGTCCCCGATGGTACCGGGGACACAAAGCCCCATTGTGGCTCCTCCAGCCCCGCGCGTGAATTGTGGGTTTGTTCCCCCCCCCTTCCCGCTCTCCGGCCACCTCCGACCCCGCTGCCACCCCAGGGGACAGCCCCGACCCCGGGCACGGCGTCACCGGGAGGATTGGTTGGGGACACGGGGGGGACACAGGCACACACAGGGGGTCCCCAGCGGTGGCCGTGCCCCATGGGGGGGGAGCGGGGCCGGGGGGCACGGCCCGGACGGCGGCCCCAGGAGGGCTGGTGCCGAATTCAGAAATACTTTCCATGCCGAGCAGGGGGGGGGCTGGGGGGGGGCTGCTATAAATAGCTGCTGTTGCCACTGAGGAGGGAGCTGCTGATCCCCCACGGCGCCCCAGCACCCAGGGGTGCCCACACGGGGGCTGCGTGGCCCTGCTGGGGGTCGCTGCCTCCTTCCCCATTTGCTGTGCCAAAAAAAAAAAAAAGCCCCCCCCCTCACCCCCCCATATTTGGGACATGGGGCTAATGCTGCAGCACAAAGCCCCCCCCCATCGGTGCAACGAGCGCGCCCTGTGCTCAGCCAGCATCGCCCCCCCCGCCCCACTTATCCCCATGGGCACAGGGGGGGGCTCAGCCCCACACCCCCCCAGACACACAGACAGAGGGGACACAACACAGAGAATTTGGGGGGGGTCCCTGCTGACCCCGTCCCTACAACCCACCGCCTCCTCCCACACCCCCCAGGGACCCCATAGCTGGGGTCTGGGGTCTTTACCCCCCCCCCCCCCTTACCAGAGGGGATGCGCCACGGTGAAGCGCCGCTGCAGGCGGATGCTCTGGTTCACCAGCAGCTTCCTGAAGAGCACGGGGGAATTGCGGGGGGACCCCCGGGGGGACCCCACGGGCGAAGCCCCCGGGGAGGGCAGCATGGCCCTGCTCAGGGCGCTCCTGGGGTCCGTCCCCATGGGCTCAGCAGCGGTGGTGGGGGGACGGGGAGCCGAGCGGCGGGGACCCGCTGCCCGCCGCCGAGGAGCAGGAAACGCGCGGCTGCCCCAACCCTGGCGGCCCCGGGAAAGTTTCCATCCCCCTCCCGCCCGCGCCTGGGAAATTAAACAACTGTCTGGCTCGGGCAGACCCCCCCCTACACACCACACACCACACACACACACACACACAGCGTCCCGTTTGGCTCCATCAATCCCGTCCCGTGTGTGTGCGTGGCTGGCTCGCCGGGCACGTGGCCACCACCCCTTTGGCCCCGCGCCCTGGGGCGCTGCGCTGTCCCCTCGGTGGTGGCAGCCGTGGCCAGAAGGGTGAGGATGCTCGGCCCGGCCACGTGCGGCAACGCCACGAGCGCCACGGCCACGTGGGGAGGTCACCGAGGGGCTTGGATGAGCTTGGAGCAAGGTGGGTGCAAGGCGAGGGACATGGCGCAGGTGCCACCAAGGGGCGCGGTGCCACCAAGGGGCACGGCTGAGCCTGGAGCAGCCCGGGTGGCTGCGGTGGCCGTGCCGTGGTGCCATCGAGCCTCACGGCTCAGCCCCAAGGATCCCAAACACGTGGAGGGGACACCAAGGCCAAAACCCAACCCCAGGTACCCCAGGCGCACAACACGGGCACGTCACCGTGCCCCCAAGGGCCGCGGCTCCACCTGGATACACCGTGTGGCCGCACCACGGTGCCACCGAGGGACCAAACCTGCCCCCACGTCCCCCCCTGTGTCCCCCAGCTGCTCCTGGCCACCCAGTTTGGGGACGTGGAGCGGGCTGGGACCCACCAGGGCTGCCCCACGTCGCCCCGGGCTGGCCGTGGGAGCTGGGTGCCCCCCAGCCCGACCCCGCGGCCCCGCTGACGCAGCCGGATACCTGCTGTCCCCGGCGGAGGCAAAAATATCCCGCAGCTGGCAGGGACCCAAGCAGGGCCCCCCCGGCACGGTGGCACCCCCGGGAGCCCCGAGACCATCGGGTGGGGGTCCCGGTGTTGGGGACCCGCCGCCTCGCAGCATGGGGACATCGGGAGGGTGTTGTGCCATCGGGGCGCAAAGGGTAGCAGGGGGGGGGACGTCAGGGTGGGGACAGAGCTGTCCCTGCCTGGCAGCCAGGAGCCCGTGGGACAGCCAGGGCTGGGCAGGAGCGGCCGCAGGACAGCCAGTCCCTGTCCCCAGGACAGCCAGTCCCTGTCCCCTGCGGGGCCGCGGCTGTCCCCAGCAGGGACACGTGTCCGCGCAGGGGGTGGACAGCAGGTGACACGGGAGCCGGGGCACGGAGTGGCCGGGTTTGGAGCCAGGTCCCTTGGCTGGGGACAGCCCCGTGCTGTGTGTGTCCCCTCAAAGCCAGGCTTTGGGACAGGCAGGGCGGGAGGGGGAGGGAATGGCCCAAAAATAACCCCGCAGCCGTGCCAAGGAGGGACCGAGGTCACCTCCGGGCAGGGACTGGAGCTGGGTGGCAGCGGGTTTGGGGACAGGGGATGGGGACAGGGGGAAAGGGGTCACGGGGATGGGGATGGGGGGACAGGGATGGAGGTGGTGGGGATGGGGGACTGGGATGGGAATAGGGTCACGGGGATGGGGATGGAGATGGTGGGGATGGGGGGACAGGGATGGGGTCATGGGGACGGTGATGAGGGGCCAGGGATGGGGAGGGGGTCACAGGGATGGGGACAGAGGTGGTGGGTACAGGGGGATGGGGATGGGAATGGGGTCATGGGGATGTTGGGACAGGGATGGGGACAGGGTGGCCTGGCTGGAGGTGGTGGGGACAGGGTCACGGGGATGGGGGGACAGGGACGGGGATGGGGACGGAGGTGTCAGGGACGGGGCCACATCCCCGGGGCCGTTCCCAGCCTCCTGTCCCCACCCCACACCCCAGGAGGGACGGGGACACAGCCCCGGTGCTGCCCGGTGCCGGCCCCGGTGCCCCGGGGGCCGCTGTCCGCTGCCCGGTGCTGAAACCACCGGCACCGCGACCCCCCCCCGGCCATCCCCGGTACCCGGTAACCCCCCCCACACCCCCCCCGTTACCTCCCCGGCCCCGCTGGGGGCGCGGAGCTGGGGCTCGGCCACCCCCCGGTACCGGAGCCGCCTCTCGCCGCGCTCTTACCGGGGGGGCTCGGCCTCGTCCCCGCTGCTGGGGCCGCTCTCCTCGATGGTGAAAACCACGCGGGGGGGCTCGGGCTCTGCCCCCCGGCAGCCCAGAGGCGGCAGCAGCGGGGTCCCGGAGAACCGGCGGCGAACGGCGCCCGACACCGGCCCCGGTCCCGGTCCCGGTCCCGACGGGGCGGCCTCGGCGGCGTCGCGACAGCGCTGCGGGGACACCGGGATGTGGATGGGGGGGGGGAGGTGAGGGGTGCCCCCCCCCCGTTCCCCAAAACCTCCGGTACCGGGGGAACTCTCCGTGGTGCTGTGCCCCCGGTGCCCGGCTCCCTCCCCCCATCCGCGGCACCGGGACCCCAAATTACAACGTTTTGGGCGGGGGGGGGGGGCGTTCCCGGACGCCCCCACCCCCCTCCTCCACCCTCACCGGGCTCCGGTGCACAAAGGGGGGGGGCACACGGAGCCCCAGGGACACCCCCGCCAGCCCCCCCCCCCCCTCCGGGATCCCTCTGGAAAATCCCCCGGAGCCGGTGCGTAATTACGCAGGGGCGAATAATAATTAACCGCCCATTACGGGGCTAATTAACTCCCGCCGAGCGCCGCCAGCCCGGTTATTGCCACCCCGGGGGCCAGGCTCTGGGACTCTCCCACCGTGGGGGGGGGCACATCTCCCCCTCCCCATCCCCCCAAAACCAATCCCGGTGCCCCCCCTCCCCTCCCCGTGCCCGGTACCGGCCCCGCTCTCACCTCGGTGCCCAGGAAGGGCAGCGCCGTCCGGCTCCGTCGCATCGTCCCTGGGGGGTTTGGGGGGTGGGGGGGGGGGAAAGCTGAGCCTTGGGGGGGGGGGGGGCTCCGGCAGCACCGGGACGTGGGGTGCCCCCCCCCCCCCCCCGGTGCCGCTCACAATTTGCGTGGTGCCCGTGATTGATGGGGCTCAGCCTCCGCGCCTCGGGTTTCAGCCCCCCCCCTCCCGCCCCCCCCGCCGCCGGTCCCTGGCTGCCCCCCAGGTCCGGTGTCCCCGGGGAGGGAGCACGGGGCCACCCGAGGGGACAAAGGCCCTGAGGCCACGGGGGTGGCCGCGCCCCCCCCCCCCTCAACCTGGAGCATCCACAGGGCCACGACCCCCCCCCTCATCCTCCGGCACCACGTTAAGGATCAACGCCCCCCCCCCCCCCCGGCACCCAGCGCCCCCAGAAGCTCCTCCACGGGTGCCACCTGCACCCCCCCCCCCCATTTCCTCCCCCCTTTCCCATGGCTGTGCCCCCCCACCCTGCCCAGCCCCATTTTGGGGGTGCTGCCCCCTCCCCTTGTGTGTCCCCCTCCCCCAAACCCTGTGCCCCCCCTCACGCCCCCCACCCCACAGCCCCTTACCGGAGCGCGCCGCGGCCCCCGCCGAGTGCAGCGGAGCAGAAGGAAGGCGGCGTGCGTGCCTGGCCGCTCGCTCCCTCCCTCCCATCCCACCCCCTCCGGGGGGGCTGCGCGGCCCCCAGCGCCCTGAGCTCCCCCACCCCACGCCCCCCTGGCCCGGGTCTTTCAGCCCAGCCTGGTGCAAAGGACCCCCGAAATTTTCCGGGCTCCCCCCCCGGGGATTTGGCACCCGTGGGGTGCAGAGCGCAGGGCAGACGGGGAAGCAGAGTCAAGGCAGCAGCTCCTTTATTCATCAGCCTGGGGTCATCTGGGGGGGCGGTGGGCGAAGGGGAACCCCTCCGACACCTTGCTCTAGGGAGGAGAAAGAGTAGGGTGAGCGCCCACCGCCCCCATGGCCCCCCCCAGCCCCCCCAAGCCCCCCCAACTCACCATGGGCACCTCGTCCAGCCGCTGGAAGCCGGGGGTCCTGCAGCGGCACAGCCGCACCAGCAGCAGCGCCGCGGCCCCCACCAGCACGGCCACGAAGAGGCAGATGACGACGACCAGGCCGGGGTTGGTTTTGGAGGGGGGATTCTCTGCGGGGTGAAATGGGCATCCCGTTACCCCCCCGGCACGCACCCCTGATGGGTCACCCTGTACCCGGCTCCCCCATGTCACCACCACCCCCCGTGGGGACCAGCACGGGACCTTCTCACCCACCGTGGCCCAAAAATATCCAGGAGAAAAGGGAGTGGGGAGCGATTTGGGGAAACCCGAGGGGTTTGCAGGGCTCTGGGCACCCCCCAGGGACCTGCCCCTTGCAGCCCCCGAGCCATGGGAGCTGCGGGGTGGGGACAGGGACACCCGGTGGCCCCCAGTGGCTCAGGGCTCCCTTTGGGTACCGAAGCGCATCCAGTCCCCGCGGTGCGCGGCGTGGGAGGGCACGGTGCAGACCCCCAAATCCCACCCTGCCCACACCGGGAGGCTTCCCCCTCACCTGGGGGGCCGGCCCCAAGGCTGGGGCCGATGATGGGAGCTGTGCTGGGGCCGGGGGTCGGGGCGGTGATGTGGCTGGTGGCCGGAGCTGTGCTGGGACCAGTGGCCGGAGCTGTACTGGGACCAGTGGCCGAGGCGTTGCTGGGGCTGGGGGCTGGTGCTGTGATGGGAGCAGGGCTCTCGGTGGGCGCAGCAGGAGAGGTGGGAGTAGGAACGAGCTCGGGGTGCCCCGACGAGGACGAGTTTGGTGCTGTGGAGCCGGATGGGGACGTGTTCGCCTCGGCCTCCATGGCCGTGGTTGGTGGCCCCGCCGTGGTCGGAGCTGGGGTCGCTGCCGGGGAGCCTGGTGTCTCGGCTGGACCTGTGGGTGCTGCTGATTTTGGGGATCCAGGTGGGGAGGGATCCAGGCTGGGTGACGGGGTGGGCGCTGTCACGTTCCCCTGGCTGAGTGGAGGGGACGTGGCCGACGTCCCCACCAGGGTTGTCCCCACACTGGTGGACGTGGAGGAGCTGGAGGAGGACTCGTTGGATGTCCCCACGTGTGACACCTCCGGTTGAGTTGTCCCCGGAGCGTGGCGCTGTCAGGTCCCGAGGTGTGCAGGTGCTGGGCTGGGGTTTGTGGGGGTAGGACCCGTCCCTACAGCGTGGAGGAGAGAGCTGGGCAGCAGGGACACTGCAGGGCACGGGGTCGGGGGGAGCGGGCAGGGTTTGGGGGGCGAGCGGTGTGCACCCCAGCTCATTCTCCAGGGGGGGTTTCAGGCAGAGAGGAGCATGAAACTCAGGTTTAATTAACATCCGATCCCCCAAAATCTAGGCCTGGGAAGCCTCTGGAGGCGGTGGGGACGAGCAGAGCGGTGCCGCGGTGGCCTCCATCGGGGACTTGGCAGCAGGGGACGGTGCCAGCCCAGCCCTGGTGGCACCCAAGGCCACATTTCCAGGGCAGGGCAGTGGCTGGCAGCGCCCGTGCCCACCCCGCTGCTGTTTGCACAAGGGGAGCAGTGGGGCCAGCCCAGCCCAGCCCCAAGGACAGAGCTGGCCCCAAGGGGGTGACCCCAAAAAGGGGTCCCCAAAACCCCCCGGGACAGGCCCTTCCTGGGAAAAGGGACGCAGACGAGGACGCGGGGAGGTGACACAGCATGGACGTGGGTGCCAGCCACGTGTCCTGGGTGGGGGCTCGGCACCCCAAAGCCCCCCACCAGCAGCTGGGGCCGCGTCCTGCCCCCAGTGGGGTTGCGCCTTGCCCCGCTCCAAGCCCCCGGGGCTGAGCCCCCCCGGGTCCCCTTCAAATTAGGGGGACACCCCCACAAACCACCGGCACCCCCCCACTGCCCCCGCAGCACGCAGCCCACCCGCTGCACCGCGCCCCCCGCGCCCCCCGCGCCCCCCAGCCCCCGGTGCCGGTGTCCCCCGGGGGGGGGTCCCCATCAGCCGGTACCCCCGGGATGCCCAATCCCACCCGGTGCCCGGTGCCCCGGTACCTGCAGCCAGCAGGGCAGCGGTGCAGCAGAGCAGCAGGCGGAGCCCCCCCCGGGCCATGCCGCTGCCGCCGCCGCCGCCCCGGTTCCCGGTGCCGGTTCCCGGTGCCCGGTGCCCGGTTCCCGGTGCCCGGTGCCCGGTTCCCCGTTGCCGCTCCGCCGCCTCCCGCCGCCGCCTTTATCCGCCCCGGGGTGGGGGGGACGGCGGCGCCCCCTGCCGGTCCCGGGTCGCCCCGAAGCACCGGGGGTGTCCCCGTGTCCCCCCCCCTCCCCGTGCCTCAGTTTCCCCATCTCCGGGGTCCCGCAGCCTTGGGTGGATGCGGAGCGGGGGGGAACGGGGAGGGGGCACGGGGCAGGGGGGCTCGGGAGGAGGGGTGGGGACATGGGGAGGGGGTTATGGGGGGTTGGGGATGTGGCTGGGGGGTGTGGGGACATGGGGATTTGGGGACACAAGCATGTGGGGACGTGGGGACAGGGGAGAATGGGGGCATGGGGAGGTGACTGGGGGACATGGGGTTGTAGGGACACGGGCAGGGGGATTTGGGGACATGGGGACATGTGAGAATGGGGGCGTGGGGACATGGCTGGGGGACATGGGGTGTGGGGACTCGGACATGGGGATGTTGGGACATGGGGATATGAGGATGCAGGGCATGGGGACACAGGAGCATGGGGATTTGGGGACACGAGGATGTGGGACATGGGGACTGGGGAGCATGGGTGTGAGGACACAGGGCCAAGGGGGCTGTGGGGACATGGGGACACTGGAGTATGGGGGCTTGGGGACGTGACTGGGGGACATGGGGATGTGGGGACATGGGGACAGGAGGAGCATGGGGTCGGAGGACACAGGGCCATGGGTTGTGGGGATGTGGGGACCAGCAATGTGGGGACGTGGGGACACAGGGACATGAGGATGTGGGATATGGGGACACAGGAGGATGGGGATATGAGGACATGGGGACAAACAATGTGGGGACACGGGGATCTGGGGATGTAGGGACTCATGGACATGAGGATGTGGGGACACGGGGACACGAAGCACGGGGATGTGGGTGACACCGGTGACACCGTACCCACTGTGGGAGGCGTCCGTGGCGCCGTGTAGGCTCTGCCCCGTGCCGGAGCTGCAGGGCTGGGGCACGGCACGGCCGGGTTTGGGGCCGTTTCCTCCCCATAAACAGCAGCCAGCAGCCTCGGCTCGGTGCCACCGCGGGTCCCCTGGGGTGGCCGCGCTCCCCACGGCACCGCCACGGGGTGCCAGGCCCTGCCCTGACCCCATGGGGACCGGGGTGTTCTTGGCTCGGCACGGCTCGGAACAGGTCCCCACCTCCTGCCGGGGCTCCAGCAGCTTGGCACTCGTCCCTAAATGTCCCCAGGAGAGCTGTGTCACCCCCCCCCGGTGAAGGGTTGTGCCCTAAAAATCCAACCGGGGCATCACCGCTGGGGAAACTGAGGCACGGGCACGGCCCCCTCATGCTCGAACAAGGGGGGGGTCAGGGGCCGGATCCTGCCCTGGGGAGGGGGGGAAATGGGACTGGGACAAATGGGGTTGGGGACGCGCGGCTGTGGGATGGGTGCTGGGGCCCCGCCAGGGCTCGCAGGTTGGGGACAGGGAGGAGGAGGAGGAGGAGGAGCAGGAAGCGAAGGCTGGCGGCGCGGGGAGGTGGCTCACCCCAGGAGAGGAACCGGGGGTGGGGGATATAGGGGAGGGGGGGGGAAAGGAATGGGGTGACCCCAGCACGGAGCCACCCCCACAACCTCCCCTACCCGCGGGGGCCAGCTCGCCGCCCACCCCATGGTGAGGGGGGGACCCATGGGGACAACCCCAGCAGAACAGTGGGGGGGGAGCTTGGTGACCCCCCCCCAGGGGTCTGCAGGGCAAAAACACAACCGTGTTCCCCCCACCTCAAGACACCCCCCGACACCCCCAAAACCCACCCCCAGCACCCAACTCCCCCCCCAACAAACGCACAACAAACCAAGCCCCCCCCCAACCTCCAGGACCCCCCCTGCCCAGCCTGGAGGAGCCCCCAAACCCCCCAAAACCTTCCCCAAAACCCTCCCAACCCCCCCCAGGAGACCCCAACCCCCCCCAGGAGCCCCCCAAAACCCCCATCCCCCCCCCCCTCCAAGCCCCAATCCCCCCCTCCATAAACACCCCCATCCCCCCCACAACCCCCCTCCAATTTTCCCCCACCCTCTCCCCCAGGCCCCCAGCACCCCCCCACCCCCTCCCCAGCCCCATTTCTCCCCTTTTTCCCCCCATTTTTCCCCCCTTACAGCCCCACGTCCCCCCCCCGCCCCAAGATGGCAGCCGGCCGCGCCGCTTCCTGCCCGCGCCGTCCCTCCCTCGCCTCCCTCCCGCTGCCCAAACTCCACCACCACCACCCCCAGAAACCCCCAAAATCCCCTATTTTTCCCCCAAAAAAACAACCCTTCCCCCATGAGGCGAAGCAGACAGCGAGAGGCAGCTCCAGCGCCGAGCTTTACTTGGGGCCTCCTTGGAATGTGGCGGACGCGGGGCCCGCGGCGGGGCTGAGGCCTCAACGGGGCCAAACCGGGGACCCCCCCCCCCGGCCATCAATCAGTCCTCACCCCGGTACCGATCCGAGGCCCCCCCCTTTCAGTTCTCTCGGTTTTTGGTTATTTTTTTTTTTTTTCTTTAAAGAAAACGGGGCACCCCCCCGGAGCCCCTCGAAAGTCCGTGTGGGGACTCCTCAGTCCGTCGGTCCCCTCAGTCCATGGCGGGGTGTCCCCCCCCCTCCATTTTCTCCCCCCCACAGCTTCTCCCCCACTTTCTCAGTCCGTGGGGGTCCCGGTAGGGTCCTGGGGGTGTCCCCGGTGTCCGTGCCCGCCTTGGTGGGGGCTCAGTAGGCCGGCACCTGGTGCTGGTGCTGCGGCAGGAGCTGGCAGCCGCTGTTGACGTGGCTGAGCACCTTCTGCTTGAGCTGTGCCACCTGCTCGCGGAGCAGGCTGGCGGTGGAGGCCAGCTCGGTGTTCTGGCTCTTGAGGCTCTTCACCTTCTCCTCCAGGCGCGAGATGCGCTCCAGCTTCCTCTTGCGGCACTTGGAGGCGGCGATGCGGTTCCTCAGCCGCTTCCGCTCCGCCTTGATGCGCTCCTGCGTGTCCATGTCGATGGGCGACAGCGGCGGGCTCTCGCCGAAGCTCGGCACCTCGGGCACGATCTGCGGCTCGTCCTTCAGCGGAGGAGGAGGAGGAGGTGGAGGAGGCAGCCGGGGCGGCGGGGCCGCGAACGGGCCGGGCTCGGCGGCGTAGCTGACGGCCGGGTAGCTGCTGAGGTTGGCGTACACCGGGGGCTCTGGGGCTAGGCCGGCGGTGGGCAGCTCGCCGGCTCCTCCGCCACCACCACTGCCACCACCGCCGCCGCCACTCGCTGCCACCGCCGCTCCCCCGGTGGATCCGGTGCCGCCGCCGCCACCCAGCTGGTTCTGCTTGTGCAAGTCCTCCAGAGCCTTGACGAAACCCTCGGCGAACTCCTGCTCCTCCGAGGCGGCCGCTTTGGGGTAGAGGAACTGCCCGCTGGTCGGCGTGGTGGTCACCAGCCCGTTGGACTGGATGATGAGCCGCTCCAGCTCGGGGGACGCCAGCTTCAGCAGCCCCAGCTCGGCCGAGCCCAGCAGCCCGGTGGTTGGGGCATCGCCTCCGCCCGCCGTGCTCGCCGCCGTTGCCGCCGCCGCCGTCACCGCCGTGGCTCCCGGTGCTTTGAGAGCCGCCGCCACCTGCTCGGGCAGCGGCAGGCCGAGGGCGTCCTTCTTCATCATGCTGCCGCCGGGGAAGGGCAGGAGGAGGCCGCTGCTGCCGGAGGAGGACGGGGCGAAGCCGCTGCCGAGGCCGCTCAACAACACATCATCATGGTAGAAGGGTGTTTCCATCCTCCTCCCCCGCCCGGCTGCGGGGGAACGGGGCGGGGGGGGGGGAAAAAAAAAATTTAAAAAATTTTAAAAAATTTAAAAAAATTAAAAAAAACAGGTGGGGGAGGGGGGGGGGGTCGCGGATCGCTGCTCGGGGTCGGGGAGGGGGGGAAGGGAGGGCGGGGGAGGCGCCGGGGGCACCGGCCGCGGCCCCGCTGCTCCGCGCGCGCACACACGCGACTGGCGCCGCCGCGGCCCCCGCGCCGCTTTATATACGCGGCGCCTCCTCGGTGACCTCACCACGCCGCGCGCTGATTGGCTGCAGATGACGTTTTCGCCCGCCCTCATTTGCATACGGGGGGGCGTGGCCTCCTTCCCTCCCCTTCCCTCCTCCCTCCTTTTCCTTTCCCGCCCCGGGGAGGCGGGGCCACGCCCACTCCTGGGCCCCCGCCGTTGCCATGGCGACCGGCGGGAACACGGCAACAACAGCGCGGGGGCCCCTGGGATGACGTCATGGCGGGGCGCGCGGCGGCGGGGGAGGGGTCACGTGGGCTGCGGCGCGCGCGCGCGCCCCGCCGGGATTCCCGGGCACAAAGGGAGGGGGCGGGGCCGGCACCGGGGGGGGCACCGGGGGTGGGCGGGGCCAGAATTGGCCCCGCCCACCCCCCGGTGCCCCCCCCGGTGCCCCCCGGTGCCCCCCCGGTGCCCCCCCGGTTCCCTCCGTGCCCCCCCCGTGCACCGTGGGCGCCCCGGTGGGCCCAAAGCACTCACACCCCCCCCCACAGCCCCCCCCCCGGTACCGGGATCCGGGATCCGGTACCCGCCCCCCCCCCCCCAAATCCGTTCCCCGGTTTGGCAGCGAGGCGGCGGGGAAGGGGTTAAGCGGCGGCGGCCCCGCGCGTCACGGCCCGGCCGGGCCCGCGGGCGGCTGAGGGGGCGGATGACGTCAGCAGTGACGTCACCGAGCCGCGGGGGGGGGGGAGGAGGAGGAGGAGGAACGGGGAGGGGGGGGGGGGGGAGGAATTAACGGGGAGGCGGCGGGGACCCCCCCGGGACACACGGCACGGGGGCAAGCCCCGGTACCCCCCCCCCCACACATATCCCCCCCTAATTAGCCCCCTCCCCATTAATTAACCCCCCCTCCGGTAATTACACCCCCTCCCGGTAATTAACATCCCCCCCCCCTCTCCCGGTAATTAACCCCCAACCGGCCCCGGCCCCACCGGGACCAAGCCGGGCCCCGTTTCCGCCGCCACCCCCATCATTACCGGGGCGCGGCCCCGACCCCAAACCCCAAAATCCCCCCCCAAGGTCCTTACCGGGTACCCCGTCTTTACCGGGGCCATCCCCGGCCCCAAATCCGGCCCCAAACGCCCCCACCGTGTCCTCAAGCCTCCCCCACCCCATTTTCCCTACAATTTGCCCCAAATCTGTTATGGTTTCTACGCCAGCACCTCCTCACCCCATCACCGGCCCCGTGATAACCCATTGGGGTCGGGCACCCATGGGGTGCCCCTGCCCCTCTCGTCCCATGGGGCTGAACCCCAAAATGGGGCCACCAGGGGTTTGGGATTTGTCCCCCGGGGACGGCACCGGGAACGGAGCCAGGACACTGAAAACCCTATAAAAAAATAAAATAATGAAAAAAAAAAAAAAAACAGGACCCCTTTGGGACCGTGCTGCCCCTGGGGGCTTGGAACAATCGAAAACAAGAGAAAAAAGTAAAAAGAAAAAGAAAAAGGGGTAAAAAAAAAAAAAGTAAAAAAAAATAAAAGGGAAAAAAAAGGGTAAAAAAAAATAAAAAGGGTTAAAAAAAAAATAAAAAGGGTTAAAAAAATAAAAAAGGGTAAAAAAAAATAAAAAGGGTTAAAAAAAAAATTTAAAAGGGTTAAAAAAAATAAAAAAGGGTAAAAAAAAAAATAAAAAGGGTTAAAAAAAAATAAAAAAGGGTAAAAAAAATAAAAGAGGGTGTTTAAAAAGGAAAAAGCGAGGAGGAGGAGGAGGGCCCGGCCGTATTTTTAGGCGCTGAGCGCAGCCCTGAGGTATTTGGGCAGCCACTCCCTCCCTCCCGCCGGCTGCTCGGGGCCGGTTCCCGGTGCTGCACCGGGGCTGAGTCACGGCCCCGCCGCCGAAACGGGGACCGGGGGGATTTGGGGTGCGGGATGGGGCCGGATTGGGGTTGTGGGGTGGCTGCCGAGAGCCCCGGAGCTTTTTCAACCCCCGCTGTTGTTTTCGTCTCGCTCCTGGTTTAGTTTTTCACCCCCTTGTTGTGGGGGCAGGAGGGGAGCTGTGGGGTTTGAGACGGGGCTTTTTTGGGGCAGAAAAGGGGTTTTGAGGGGTTTGCCTGAAGGCACCCCCTCCAAGCCAACCCCAAATATTCCCCCAGAGGTAGAAAAAGGCAGCGGGGGGGGGGAGCGAGGAAGGAAGGCTGCGAGGCCCTGTGGGTGCAATTAGGGAGCGGAATTAACGAGTTTGGGGTTTCTCCAGGAGATAAGGAGCGCTCGGAGGGCTCTACCCGGAGCGGGAGCCAGAGATCCCATTGTCCTTTAGGGTTTTAATCTGGCCCCGGCAGCCCTAAAACCCAGACGGCCCCGCGCTCGTTTCCTTTTTTTTTTCACTAAAAAAAAAGGGTTTCTGCGGGGTTTCTGCGGCGGGAGGCAGAGGCTGGGAAGGGAAAATCTGACACAGGGCCCGGCCCCGGTCAAACACCGCAGCGGGGTTTGCTCCGGGAAGGGGGTTTTTTGGGGGGAGGACCCGCGTGGCCCCCTCCCACCGCATGGGGTTTGCTGCTTGGCAGGAGCTGGGGACGCGGATCCAGCCCTGACACTTGCCACTAACAAAAAAAAGCAGCCAGGAGGGCACGCGGCTGGTAAAAAGCAAGGTTTTAGCCCCAATTCCTCGGGTGTTTATTGACACGAGGGGCAGCGAGGAGAGAGGTCGCTTTATTCCTACTCACCCCTGCGCCCGGGTTTTATGAACGTTTTTAAAAAAATAAGTCTCTAAAAGCACGTTCTCGACTCGTTTTTCTCTTCCCAGCAGTGGCGATGGACAGCGAGCAGGCTTCAGCGGGGAAATTGTAGGAAACCAAAAAAAAATAATCACAAAACCAAGGAACTGTTCAGAGTTCCAATATCTTCTGCTTTTCCCCTAAAATGACACGATTTCATTCACCAGGGAGGTCAGGCAAGGCCTAAAATCTCTTTCTTCCCCCCCTTGTGCTCCTCCACAGGCTTTCAGTTCAATTTTGGGGTGCATTTTGTCCGTGGGACCCCGCACCCTGTGGGTTGGAAGAAAAAAAATCAGATTTCAGGACGTCACAGGCACAGGGGGAAACGGCCAGCTCGGCTGCTTTTCAAGAAAACAACACCAAAAAAAATAATTTCGGAGTAAGGGGCACACCAGCCTGCCCCGAGAAAACACAGAAAAGCCTTTAAAGGAAAGGAAATTTCTAATCTGGAGTCAAATTAGGAAGATGCTAATTGGGAAACCCTCGCTCATCGCAGAGCTCTGGGGGGAGCAACCCTTCAAGACGCTCACCCCAGGTTCTCTTTTTGGGGAGAGCCAGAGGTGACCGGCCAAGAACAGGGGATAAGGAGGTGGCTTCAGGGTCTGTTCCGATAAAAAGAACCCCAAACAAACCTTTAGGACGACTCACGTAGGGACACAATATCCTCAAGTTCAGTGTTTTCAAACCAAAACGCCTGCGGCTGTTACAAACGAAACGATTTTACAAAGCTTCAAGTATAAAAAAAAAGGAAAAAAAAAAAACCAAAACCCTAACACAAAATCTGGAAAGCGGTCGCCTCGGTTCCTACACCACTATTTGAAATTACACCTGGTGACCCCAAATTAAATCGTGCTCCCACCCTGCGGAGAGGGCACGGAGTGAAGTCCTTCACCGTGAATTTTTTTGTTTTTTTTTTCTTTTTGGCCGTTTCCAATCGCAGATTTGCTGGCTGGAAAGGGAGGAACCCCGCTGTCCCAGGTCAAATCACGAGGGGTTTCCGAACTACGAGATTGGGGCAGGTTTCGCCTGGCGGAGGAGCAGGAACAGAAGATTTTTGGAGGCGTGGCGATCCTGAGGTGCGATCGAACCCAAAAGCATCGCGGCACCGTCCCTGGGCAGGGCGCAGGCAGCCCCTCACTGCTTCGCTGCCTGCCTGCCCGGCTTTTTTTCCTGCTGGCCTCTTCCACTGCCTGGGATCCCTCGGCCACGGCCACCAAAGACACCTGCGGGACACAAAGGAAGAGCAGAGACACCAGAACATCAGCGTACGCCAGGAACACCTCCCAGAGCTTTACAGCTCTCCAAATTCTCCCAAATACACGCCTGTTTTCGTATTTTTGCAGCAGCAGAGGTGGGACCTGTGGATTTTTCCCTTGCCAGTCCCAGACCCTGTGCTCATCAGGCCCCAAAACTTCCCCTCAGCAGCGAGCTCAGTGATCCTCCTCCGGTGCTTTACCACGAATTCACCTCTTTCATCACCTTTTTTTATTTTTAAAGTCCCCTTTTTCTCACCCTCAAGCTCCCCTCTTTTGAAAAACCCAACCCAGGACGAGAGAGGAGGTTTTAAATTCGAGCACCTGCCACCGGGGGGTCGGCAGATCATCCCGCAGCCCCCCCCCGAGAGCTGCAAAACCAAACCTGCAGCAACAAAAAGGGGGGAGAGCGACGAAGGGGCCGTGGGGCCGCCCTGCCAGCACCCTCTGTGCAAAAACTGGAGCCCAAAATTAGGCTCGGCGCAGGCAGAACTCGCTGCAGAGCCCTCTGCTCGCTCAGCCGAGACAAGTCTGAACCAGAGGGGGGAAAAATGCTTCTAACCCCGCAGTCCTTTGGAAGCAGCCGGAGCCCTGCGAGCATCCCGAGCAAAGAGCACAGCTCCTGAGCTTGGCGAGGCAAGGAGTAAAAAAAAAAAAAAGCAGGATTCCCAGTGGCAGAGACAATAATCCTTTCAACCGCGCGCACACAATTATAGCTTTACTTCTGCCTGCTGGCCTCCCAACAAAATTGTCCTCCCTATTTTTTTTCTTTCCTTCATGTCTCGGTAATGAGAGCCAACCCTTTTTAGCTAATTAGCAAATGCCAAAGCTTCCCTTTAAAATATTCCATCAGCGAATTTCAGCTGCACATCAAAACAGGGGGGTGGGGAGGGAACTCCACCTCCAAACACCGCTCGGGCCGGCTCTCCACAAGGTGGATATTTCCACAGCACGGGCGGGAGAGAAAAGACTTCAGCTTCAAATGTTTATCCAAGCTAAGCCCGGCCAAAAAGCTGCTGCGCCAAACGCTCTGGACACCGAGCAGGGAAGGAGGAAAAATAAAAAGGCCCCTTCAGATTTGTAAAGGTCACCGCTGCGCGCTCGGAGCTTTTTGGGAGGCGTTTTTCCTCCCGAAGTCCCTGCGAGCCGGAGACGTTCCTTGGGGTGGCGTGATGGCCCCAGGTACCTCCCAGCCGTCCTGCCGGGATTCCTCGCATAGCCCGCACGCAGACAGCTCGTTAAGGGCGCCTGCCTCAGTCCCCAGGGCTCCTTTTACAGCCCCGATTCCCCGGTTTGGTTCGGGGAGGGAGCCCACGCGGGGTTTGGGCTCCTGCTGCGGGCTGATCCCGCAGCGAGGAACCCCGGGGCTGAGCGAGGAGAGCGCAGGGCGAGCGGCAGGGCCGTGAGGAGGACGGTGCTGGGAGGGGGTAAAACAACCCCCAGCCGTGTGAAGTGGGGCAGGGGAGGAGGTGCCCTGACCTATTTCTGCCTCCTTGGCAGCCTCCCCTCGTAGCAGAGGCACCGATTGTTCACCTGGAGCAGGAGGAGCACAAACCCGCAGCTCTCTATGTAAAAAAAACACAATCACAAGCAAAAAAAACACAATAACAAGCAAAAAAAACACAATAACAAGCAAAAAAAACACAAAGCACCAGGTCGGAAGACCCAAAATCCCATTACACGGGGAGAAAAGGTGGTTTTTAGCATGGAGATGGTCACAGCCCTGTCTGTTTCCCAGCAGGACAGCCTCTTGTTTCCCTCCCAGCTTCGCTACGCCAGCAGACACCCGAAATTTGGTGGGGCCGCAGCAAGCCAGGAGGGGCACAAACAGCCAAATTCGGAGCCTCTCTTAATTAAGCTCCTGCCCAACCCAGTAACGAGGAAGGCACAGCCCTGGCACGTCTCCCTGCGCCGGGATCTCGCACGGGAGCCGCCCCAGCCTCCCGCAGCCCTGGGAGGTGAAATGGGGAAGCAGGGACCCAAATCTGCCCCAAATCTCCCCCTTTTCTGACCCAAAAAGGACCAGGATCGTTACCTCGCCCGGCGCCGCCCACCCCGCGGCCCTTCTGCTGCTTCTGCTGCTGCATCCCGCCGCGGCCTCGGCCCTTGGACACCACCTCCTCCTTCACCATGTCGATGATCTCGTCGGGGATGCGGAGGTATTTGATGGTGCTGCCGCGGATGTAGCACTCCGGCATCCTCCAGAATTTGTCACCGTCCTGTCGGGGAGCAAGGCTTTAGGTTGGGAACGAGGCCGGGTGCTTTTTTCTGGGACATTTTTTGGTTTTTGAACGTTTCCGTCCCTTCCGAGGAGCGCGACGGCTCCGCTGGTATTTTTCAAGCCCTAATTAGCCACTAAATTGGTTTCCCCTCTCCGACCCTACGGAGCTGGAGGGGCACGGAGGGCACCCAGCCCTGAACCAAAGGGGGGTTTCGATTCCCCCCCCGGCCTGTAACACCCACAGAAAATGAAGGAAGAAGAGGGAAGGGAATTGAAAGCGGGCCCGAGGAGGGGAACGTGCGAAGTTCCACACAAACACTGCGAGGAACCACCTCGGGGCAGGTCCAGCAGAGGAAGATTTTTTTCTGCAGAAGCCCCAGCTGGGAGTCACCTCGCTATTTCACGTCGCCGGGGCGGGGAGCTGAGCAGCCAGGCAGCATCCAGAGCCAGCTGGGCGTGGGGCGGGTGCCCACCAGATGCACAGGAACCGCCGCCGTGGAAAATAAGGAGCTTACGACATCCAAAAGTTAAAAAAATCCAAAAAAAAAAGAGAAAAAAAAAGGGCTCCGGGAGCCAAGTGACTGAGCAGCCGTGTTTTGCTCGAGGCGGTTTCAGGACGTGGCCCACCAGGACCGTGTCAGGCGCAGCTGTGGGGTCAGAGGGGGGTTTTGGGGGCTGAACCCCAAAGCTGCTGCCCAAAATGTAACCAGGAGGGGGTTTGGGGCCTCGTGCGGCCAGCTCTGCCCCGCAGGAGAGCTCAAACCCGGCTCTCCTCGAGCAGCACGGGCAGACAAGGCGTCCCAGAGGAGCGTGCTACCCAGGAACGCCTCGTTTCACCTCTCGGGATCGTCCCCCCACGGCTCCGGAGTTATTTGGGGCAGCCCTGCGTGTGCGGGCAAGCCCTGGGTGCGCGCGAAGACGAGGAGGAGAGGAACAAAACGGCCTCCTCCAGCCAGGCACCCGGCAAACCCCACCCTGCCGCGGATCCTCCAGGCTGAGCCTTGGCTCCCGATGCGGGAAGGGATCGAGCCAGGGCCAGGCTTCCTCGTTCCGGCCTCCTCCACGGGTAAACAACAGCCCGTGGGGACGGGGAGGCCGCCAGGCCCCGCTCCGTGCCATCTAGCGGCCGGTCCCCACCGCTGCTGCCCTGGAAGTGCCTCCCAGCAGGCTCCCAGCAGGGATTTGGAGGCGTTTTGGGGGTGGGAGGGAGCTGTAGGGCCCTCAGGAGGGTGGAAGGATGAGGGATTGGTCTGCTATAAGGGAGGACAGAGCTGCTCTGCAGGAGGGGACAGGATTATGGGGTCTCTGAGCATTAACAGGATCTGTCACCCCCTCCTGCAAAGCCTGGAGAGAAACGCCTTCCTATTTGCCCTGCCCTACAGTCCAGAGGGATCCACAACGTCCTAAAAGCTGCTGCTTCGTGCTGCAGGTCCCCCTCAAACCTTTTCTCGGCCGTATTTACGCACAAACACATCCCTGAGCCCCAGCAGGACCGGGCAACAGCTTCGTGCTGTGGACATAGCAGGTACCAAAGCTTTGCAGAGAGATTTTCTGCAGAATCCGGGTTTCTCTGCCCATTTTTACCCAAAATCCCCTGCAGTTCCGAGGCAGGGGGAGCTCAGCCAGGCTTCCCAACAGCGCGCAGCCGGGGCAGGGACAAGCCCAGGCACTTCGGGGCTGAGGTCAAAGCCCAGCCGCGATCCCAATCTCCCGGAGCACCTCTGGCCATGGGCAAAAGTACCAGACGGCGCCCAGGGCGGGCCAACGCCGCGGCGCTGCCGCCGTTTGATGTGGGGAGCGGGTTCAGAAGAGCCAGAGCTGGGAGCAGAGGGCGCAGACGGAGCCGTGGAGCTTTGAGGATCCTCACCGGGGGGGGGGGGGGGGGTGCACGTTACAGGACCCCCCCCCCCGCCTCCATCCCGGTTTTTCGGTGTCTCCTCACTTACCTCACGCATGTTATTTCGTTGTACTCACTTAAAACCGCACTCAGGCCAAAGCCACGCTGCCAGGGGAGCCAAAACCGCACCGAGGCCCAACTGGGACGGCCCAAAAACGGGACCGGGGCTCGGTCACCCCCCCCCCGTGCTGCCCCTTTCCCCCCCCCCCCCGTGCTGACCGGGGCCAGGCCCTTACCCGGGAGGTGCAGATGACCTCTCGCAGGTTGATGTTCATCCAGTTGTCGCAGCTCACCAGGTGCCCGTTGTAGGTCTCGCCGTTCTTCAGCTCCACCAGCTGGAGACACAAACGGCGGTCACGGGAAGGGGGGGGGAGGAGGGAACCGGGCCGGGCATCAACGGGCCCGGGGGGGGGGGAATTAACGGGGTAACGGGGCCGGGCCCGGTGCTGCCGGTACTCACCATGGGGTGGTTCTGAGCCGTCTTCAGCAGCGACAGGGGCAGCTGTGAGGGGGAGAAACGGGAGGAGAGGCCTCAGGCAGAGCCGGGACACCGGAACCGGGGCCCAGAGACCGGAACCGGGGCTGTGGTACCGGGAGGGCGATGCCGGTACCGGGGCCGTGGTTCTGAGGCCCCGACCAGGCCCCGATCCCCCCCCAGCCCCCCTCAGGGTCCCCCCCCGCCCTCACCATCGTGCCGGAGCCGCCGCCGCGCTGGCCGCCGCCGCTCAAACCGCCCCCGGCCCCGCTCGGAGCCAATCAGCGCACAGCACGGCCCCGGCGGGACCAATCAGAGCGCGGCGCGGTCCCGGCGGGACCAATCAGCGCGCGGGCCGTCAAGCAGCGCGGTGACTCCCCTCCGCGCTTTCACGACAGTGTCGCGAAGACGGAAAGAAGAGGCGGTGGAGGCGCCCCCGAGCGGCGGGGCCGGGCCCGGGCCCGTTCCGGTTGTAACGGGAGGGGGCGAACCTGAGGGGAGGGGGGGGGCTCCGGGGGGCACCGCGCTGAGGCGGCTCCGGCGGCGGAAGAGGCGTTGAGGGGGCTCTCTGTGCCCACAGGGGGGCGCTCTAGCTGGGTGGGCGGAGCCAACTCGCAACTCTATGGTCTCGCGGGGGGCGCTCTAGGCGGGGGGGGGCGGGGCCAACTCTATGGCCGGGCGGGGCCGCGCGCTCAGAGCGGGGCGGGCGCGCGCCGGGGGCGAGGCGCGATGGAGAGGCCGCGGAGGGCGGTGGTGGTCACCGGTACGGGGGGGGGGGGGGGAGGAAAAAGGGACCGGGGGGGGACCTGGGGGGGGTGTGGGGGGAGCTGGGGGGTGTGGGGCAGGGCTGGGAGGGGGGTGGGGGAGGCGGAGGCGGAGGCGGGGGTGGGGGTTTGGGGGGGTTTTGAGGGGTTTTGGGGGGGGGAAATGGGGGAAATGGGGGGAGAGGGGGTAAGGGGGGGCTGGGGGGGGCTTGTGGGGGTTGTGGGGGGGTTGGGGTTCATGGGGGGTGATGGGGGGTGATGGGGGTATGGGGTTTGGGGGGTGTGGGGGGGAGTTAAGGGGGTTAGGGGGTGGTATGGGGGGAGTAGGGGGTGATTTAGGGGGGGGTACCGAGTGGTTTGAGGGGGGTGTGGGGTGATTTGGGGGGGTGCAGGGGGGGGCTGGGGGGTATAAAGTGGGTTTGGGGGGGATACGGAGTGATATGGGGGGTTATAGGGTGGTTGGGGGGGGGTTCAGGGTGTTCCGGGGGGGCTGTGGAGTGATCTGAGGGGGTATGGAGTAATATGGGGGGTTACAGAATGGTCTGGGGGGTGGACGGAGTGATCTGGAGAGGGTTCAGGGTGATCCGGGGGGAGTACAGGGCGATGCTTGGGGGTATGAAGTGGTTTGGGGGGGGTACGGGGTGATTCTGGGGGGGGTAAAGAGGGATGCAGAGGGGTAGGGGGTGGTGTTGGGGGGCACAGAGTGGTCTGGGAGGGGTAGGGAGTGATCCAGGAGAGGTATGGGGCAGTGCTGGGGGGGTGCAAGTTGATGTTGGGGGGGGCACGGAGTGATCTGGGTGGGCAGGGGGTGATGCTGAGAGCAGTACAGGGTGAGCTGGGGGGAACAGAGTGAGCTGGGGGGCGACGCTCAGGGGTTATGGAGTAATTGGGGGGTTATAGGGTCATGCTGGGGGGGTTATAGGGTCATGCTGGGGGGGTGTACAGAATGGTGCTGGGGGGGTACAGGGCGATACTTGGCAGCTTCCCCACGTGTGGGGTGAGCCCTGGGAGGGCCGGGGGTGCTCTGGGGGTGGGGGAGCTGCGGTGGGTGGGGGTATCAGGAGCTGGGGTTCACCCTAAATCCCCAGTCCCCCCCCTTAAGGCTTTGCTGAGCAGGAAAAGAGCAAAACTGGGGGGCTCGCCGACCCCAAAGGGGTACAAAGGCAGCTTGGTGTGTGGGGCAGGCTGTCCTGTGCCAAACGGGGACCTCGGGGGGGGGGGGGGGTGACGAACCATGCAGCTGAACCCGAGGCCGTTTGAGCGTGGGGGGGGGATAACTGGAGGCCAAAATCCCTGCCGAGAGCAGGTGGCGGCTCCTGGTGCTCGGCGGTGACTAAACAGAAAAGAGGCGTCGCCGAAATCCACTCCTGCTGCCAGCAGTGCCTCTTCTCACCCTTTTTTCCCTCGTTTTTTTTTTTTTGGGGGGGGAAGTCCGCTTCCGAAGCGCGGCCCTTATCTCGTGAGGGCTGCCCGTGGCCGTTCGTCACCGCCGTCACGCCGAGTTCCCCTTCGGGTACGGTCGGAGGATCGCTGCTATTTCCGTGCCCTTTCCTTTTTCGAGCCCTTTCCGGAGATAATCCCATAAAGCTCTCGCCGCTAACGAGCCCTGGAGGGCCCTAACGTGGACGTGGGAGAGCTCCCGGAGTTTGGTGCTGCCGAAAAGTTGCTCATCTTCTGCGCAAAGCAAACCCGGGGGGGAATGTGCACGGGGGGGATGAGTCAGGAGCCAAAGTCCTCCGGGGGGTCTGTGCCAGCAGAACGAGGGGGCTGCGATCCTACAGGCAGGCACCTGTAGGATTTCAGCCTCACGGCACGCTTTAGCGGCTAAAAAGGGATGCTCATTTTTATGTTTCTCGGAAGAAGATGAGGATTTCTTTAGGGGTGAAACCCCTAAAGGCCGTGATGGTTTCCAAAAAGCCGCGTAAGTCATCGCTGACTTGTGGGAGCGTCTGAGAAGTCGTCTCGTTATTCAGCTTGCTGGCCTCTGCTGCAGCCGTAGCTTATCCTAATAATATCTCGTGGGAAACACGCCGCTGTTTGATCTTGTGGACTCCTTCAGGAGGTTTATTTGGGGGAGAAATAACCCCAAATACACGGTGGCTCGGTTCTAATGTTCCCACCCAGGTGGAGCACCCACGCCGTGCACGTCCCTCACATCACCCTGAGCGATGTGACCCCGACCTTCCCCTGTTTTGGTAGCAAACAGCCCGCTTCCATTAACGTGTCACGTAATATTTGTGGTCCCTCCCCGGTCCCCTTCACGAGTTAGCCAAAATCTCAGCCCCTAATTGCGTGAGGCTGCCGGGGTAGCTCCGACGTCCTCAATTAAGGCGCGGTGCCATCGCGCCCCGATAAATGCCTAACCTTTGTGTGCTTGCTCAGGGAAAGATGTGATGGATTACTCGTTAACCCTGGGTTACTCATTAGGAAATGCAAACGGGGTGAGTAAGGGTTTTTACAGCTCTATCATAACCTTTGCTGCTCCGTGGACGTGGGTTGTCAGCACCGTTGGGGTTGGTTCCTTGAGAGACCGATCCACGGAGATTTTGGGGAAGGCTCAAAGCAAGGAAGAAATACTCGAGGCAGGCTCGTCGATGGTTTTGGAAGCATCTGGTGCGGGCTGTTACGAGCAGGATTAGAAAATCCAATAAAGAGTCTCATTCCGTGACATCAGTCAATGCATCTGCTAGTAGCAAGTTTTTCCCTAACCTGGTAGAGAAGGAAAAAAATCCGCTGCCCCGGTGTCTGCTGGGGAAAAAAGGAGATTTTTTGGGGGTTTGAGGCAAGCTCTCGTTCTCCTTTGTTGTAAGATGTGTGGTTAAACGTTGCTGTGAAGGTCTCTGGTAGGTAGTTAGGAAATAAATGAGGAATATAAGGAATATATAGTGAATAATTGGGTATTTTAAGTGGGTTTCTTCTCAAAATACATAAACCAGAGAAGCGCAGAGCACTTTGCATGTTAGCCAAACGTGTAAGAATGCCTTTTATTCTGTTTCAGGGTTTGGGCCGTTCGGAGAGCACGCTGTTAACGCCAGTTGGGTTGCAGTCCAGGTAACGCTCTAACTTCCTTCGGGGAAAGTTCAATCAGCCCCGTGCCGATCACCAACCCGCACAGATTTCAGCCCGCAGCTCTTTTGTACCTTGCCTTCCCCGTTTCTCAGCTGAGACCAGCTCGCTCCAGATGGCCAGCTGGGTAATGTTTTATTCGCTTCTCAGAAAACAGCCCCTTAGCTAGCAGAACTTAATGAGATGGAGTTAATAGAGCTAAGGCAAGTAAGGAATTCCTGGGTCAACTCCTCAGATTTGAGAGCTGGTGAGTGGGGCAGGGAGCGGGGAGCTTTGTGTGCTGCTGAGAATTCAAAACAAGAAAGCAAGCTAAATGAATTCTTGTTTTCCTCCCAGCTGTAGCTTGAAATCTGGGTGAGTTGGTTAACCTTTAAGCTATTTCATCTGTAACGAGACTTGCACGTGGTAACCTTGCGGAGTTGTCAAACACGGGTTGGAATTTTGGGACTGACTCCAAAAGGAGCCTCCACCGCTGCCTGCTCTCTCCCTTCGGCTCCTTTCGGGGCAGCCTGCTGGGCTGCGGTGGGTGAAGCAGGAGGCGTGCGGGTGCTCGAGGAGCACACTGAGGGTGCTCGGGGAGCACACAAAACAGCAGCAGGCGTTGCAGGGCTGGCTCCTGCTCGCTGGAGATGCAGTGTGAGAAGTGCTCGTGAAGCATCGTCGCTTGAGCAGGTCGTAGCGTGCTTTAACACAGCCACCTTATGCCACTTGTAGAGCTGCGTGAGCATATGTGACATATGTTCATCTAAATAACACGCTGATACACTCCCAAACAAGGCAGGAAGAAGAAATCCAACTCTTGCTAGGTGCCCTGCTGAACTAAGGAATTAAGGCTGCTTTGTAGTACGCTGTTAAAGCATTAGCCTCAAACAGCGCTGTCACATTATCCCAATTCCTCCTTATTTGTCACTTCTGGATGTGGTTTATGACAAAGCTACTGGGAATTCAAGGGTACCTTTTAGTACAGTTGCCCAGGGAATTAAATCTATTTTTCTCCCAAACACATCTCTCTTCCCTTCACAGCTCTGAGATTAATATCTGCTTTAGAATGCTTTTAAATTAAATCACAAACTCTAATCAATTACAGGCAACTAATGTCCAGATGTCTAATGTGTTGCCTGGTATGAGAAGCCGAAACCTTTGGCTCCAGGAGCCCTTTGGAGCTGAATTTATTTGCGTTAGGGTTTGCTTAGGCGGAGTTTGGGGAAAAACGCAAGCTTTATTAAGGATAAAAATTGCACGTTGGTGGAATTTAGTAGCAAGGCTAATTGGCTTGGTTTGTTCTTATTTGTGTAACGCCAGCTATTGTAAACAAGCTACTTTTATGCTGGAGAAGATCCACAAAGGGGTATTGTGCTTCTGGGACAGGAAGAGTAGTGGGTGTTGTGATGTTGCTTACAAAAACAAACCTAATGTATAATTTGTGTAAGGAGAAGCGGGCTGTCATCCCTTCAGCCCAGCATCTCGAGGCATTGCTGATAGAGGAAGTCACCGTGTGTGTTTTAAATTCATTTTACGGGCTTGGGGCTGCTTTGAGAACGTAAAACTACAACTGGCCGCGCGCATTAGGGCCGATCTTCCCCCGACTTTAACAGCTTGTGTTGGCTTCTGGCTCCAAACGCCGACTTTGAGGCGGTGGGGAGGATTTGCCTTTCCTTACCCCCGTCTCAGCCCGGAGAGGCCCAGACAAAAAGGAACAGCATGTCTTTGAGCACATGCAAGTTGGGCATTGTGCAAGTTTCAGACGGGGGACTTCATGGAGCTGAGTGGACACAAAGGCGTGTCTGAGTTTCTGAGTCCCAGACGGTGTGATCTGCATCTTAATAGAAGAAAAATCAATTAAACAATCTTTGTAAATCCTTCCTAGCTTTAGGGCTAAGCTAGTTCTGGTTTATTACATCTTTTATTATCCTGCATCCCGAGGATAAAATCCTCTGCTTTTCTTCCCGGTCTTCCTTTGGGTTTTATTTGTGCGGTGTGACTTTTCCCTCAGACTGTGGTGTATTTCTAGTATTGATGCTTGTTCGTGAAAATAAATGATTTTTACACGTGATTAACACACAGGGTATCTTAAATAGTCGTGGAAGCAAATGCTAAGATTAAAAGTTTGGGTGTTTTTATGCTTGGGAGAGAGAGAGGGGGACAGTAACTTCTCGCTGCTTTCTCTTCCGAGGCTGGCAGTAAAAACACTTCGTGTGTTACAAAACACAGGTTTGCCATTCCACGTTTCCATCTATTTAACATTTCCTCCGAGGCTTTTTTTACAGTTGCTTGTGGGGGGGAGACATTTCTGTAAGAAGAAGCGGAGGAAAAATGGGATTTTTAGCTCGGGGCATCCTGCGGCCTGCAGGCCTGGCTGCGCCTCATGGCGGAGGCCCTGGCTGCGCCCCATGGCGCCCGCCAGGCCTCGGCTTCTCCCCGTTAGAAGCGTGTCTGGCAGGGCTGGGGGCCGAGGAGGGAGGTCAGGGTGCGTTTTGGCCTTATGGAGCACAATCGCTGTCAGGGTGTCTAGACAGACCTGATAAGGATATTAAAGGCTGACAAAGGAGCCCATTGTGGAGGGGTCAGGGAATCGGTCAAACGCGTTCGTTTTTCTCTGTTTGTCAGGTACACAAGGCTGCGGATAATAAGTTGTCTGGGGGCCAGAGTACATCTTTATTATGGAATGGAAGTGCGTTTGGTTAAAGGCAAGCTGTGGGTTTGTAAAGCTGCGTTTGACGTGCCTGCCTTTGGGGAAGGGGCTGCTCGGCGTCACGGCCCGAGGTCTCTCGCGGGCGAGCAGCCGGCAGAGCTCGCAGCTCCCAGCTTCGTCTTTAGAAGCTGCTTCACGCTCTTCAGAGAAGTGATGATGAATTCCTACCAATTAACGCTCTGGAGCTTTTCCTAAAGAGACTGGCTCGTATTTGAATACTCTAATTTGTAAACTACTTACTTCATTAACGCGCCGCATAAAACAGCTAACGTTTTGAAGGCGGGTTTGTGTAAAGAAGATGTGATGAAACATCACTTAGCATCCATCTCTGGTAATGAATGTCTGTGTGTGCCAGACGCTAATCAATACAGCAAGCCTTTAATATCAGCCTTGCCCTCGGAGCAAGTGATTTATCACGGTTGTTGCTCATATCTGCTGGTCCGTGAAAGTCTTACCCTTGCTTTTTCTGCGTGTTTGAGTTATCTTAAATCTTGTTACACCGACCGTGGTGTCTGTACAAGTGTGAAAAGTGTTGCTTTTTTTTCCCCCCTCAGAACCCCAGTAAAGAAATAGATGCTGATAACTACAGGAAAAAAAAAACAACTTACTAAGATAATGCTCATGTTTAGATAGAACAATGGAGGAGGTAAAATTATAATGTAGGAGTCAAAAAAAACTCAGCCTCTGTTTTCCACTCCTCTCCTTTAAAATTCTTCTCACTTAAAGACAGTTGAGGCCCAGCTAAATATAAGATGTGGAATTCAGTAGTAAGCTTCATTGAAAACAGCTTATCTGCACTTCTTAGCCTGAAGTTGGCGAGTATAAATCTCCACGCACAGGAAAATAAAGAAAGAACTGCATGAAAGCGCAGCTCTTGGCTCTGATCACTAGATCAGAACCCGAAATGGAGATAATTTAATCATTCAAGAATATTTTAAAATGCCCTTTGATACTTTGATGTCTCCTTACATTGCTGTTTTCACTTCAGATCCATGAAAACAACTACAGTGGTACGTGGATGTGAGAGTGCCAGGTTCTTTTCATGCCGTGCCTGCAGCTCCTTTGATGCTAATGCAAGTAATCATTCTGAGCTTTTGTCATGAGTAAGATTCAGTTTTTCTAACTGACACGTGTCGCAGAGGAGAACAGCACAGGAAGACGAGTTTTTGCTGCATATCAACTCGTGAAAAGCTGGAGTTGGTACTTGTAACTGCAACGTGGGCCTGGCTGCAGGAGCACCGATCCCCCGACTTCAGAGGGAAGGATGCTCTTGTGGTTTCTGTGCAGAGGAGACAGCTGTGGGAGGACTCAGACTTTATCGGTCTTGAAAAACATCTGGAGAATTTTTCAGAGTGCCAAAAATGTTGTCTTCATCAGAGAGAAACATGATCCGAATTAGATGCTGGTGGAACTCATTAAACGTGGTGGCTGAAGTCACTTCAGGCACTGGAAGCCTGATGGTTCAGAGCCGAGCCGACGGCTCTGTTTGAGAACGTTTCTATTCAGAGGTTTCAGACCGTGTGGTTATGTCGTTTCCTTGAGTTCTTGAAAGTTTGGGTTTCTAACTGAAGCTTTGCTGGTGAGACTGGAGCGAGCTGAAACAGAGACCAGAGAAGAGCAAGGCAGCAGTGTCCAGGACCTCGCGCTGTGTTTAGAGGGAGCTTGGAGTGCAGGTTGGGAATACTGGGGAAAAGAAAGAGCTTTCTTCTTCCTTCTTCCCTCTGCCTTCCTGTTTTAAGGGAGTCTGTGCAAGGTATTTAAGTGACGCTGTGCATTTTAAAAGGTTTAATGGAAATTGGCAAAGTTTGCTGCCTGGATATTAGGGCTATTTTCAGGGCGTGTTTTTAGTTAATGTTATAGAGGAAGAAATAATTTCCTGCATTAGTTGAATCACCGAAATGGTAGCAGTTCAAACGGCAAAATTAAGCACGATATATTAGGTATAGGTAGAGCTAGCAAAGGAAACCTGGTTTATATTTTGGGAACAGCCTGCATTGTATTCCAGATTCTGCCAAAATAAAGTAAAACAAATATGTTGAAGAGGGCATGCCAATGTTGCTGCAGTCTCCCATACGAGGACTGTTAGCTAATATTTGTAGAGACGCTCAGACACAGAATAACTAAGGGTGGGAGTGAGCTGTTATCTATTTTTGTGGAAACAAACATGAATTTGCTCTTTGGGCCAGCAGCCCTGCGAGATAACAAATCAGGCTATGAATATATTCCTCTCAATTCTGCTTTTTCTATATAATATCCAGTTCTTTCACAAAGTGAATGTGACTATATACTGCTAAAAATATTGAAGCCATTCTTTTTTTGTAGCGTGGGAGCTGCTGATAGCTATTGTCAGTTAAATGTTGATTTCTGAGTTATACACACATCAGAGCAAAACAAACGGTCCTGTCGCTGCCGACTGTTGGCACAGGTGGGGAGATGCCTTTGTTGTTCCCAGTTATGTTTTTTTTTCTTTCCTTTTTGCTGCTCCTTCTATCTTAACCGTCAAAAGACCCTCTCTTTGAGGCAGTGTAGGAGGGTATGAGACAGAAAACCAGACTGGCATAGTAGTGCTGCTCTTTTTTCCCCTCGCCATAGCTTTGAGAAGGAACAGTTCCCACCTGGTGGATGCTCGGGATGCCGTGATGTTTGCAGGGTTCAGTACAGCCCGTGGTGTAAGCTCCTGTTTGGCCCTCACTCTGCCATTAAACCCTGCAGAAGTGTATCCTCTGCTGAACTTGTGTCTGACCATCTTGTTTTGTTCTTTTTTTTTAATTTCCATATGTTCCTAGGAACTGGAGAAGCTTGGGCTGCGAGATGACGTAGATCTGCACGTATACGAAGTCCCAGTTGAATACCAGACAGTGCAAAGACTAATTCCTGCCTTATGGAAAAAGCACAGTCCGCAAGTGAGTGAGTAAAGGGAGGAGGAGAAAAGGCAGAGTAAAGGGCTGACATCTGGCATCCTCACAGCAGCGAGCGTAACGTGAAGTCTCGTTTTAGCCTGTGTTTGGTTTTGTAGTCCTTTGCTAGATTTTTTTCCTCTTTTTTTTCGTGAGAACGTGTGAATTTGTAGAATTTTATGGCTCAGAATAAAGTGTTCCCATTAATGGGAGCAGGCAGTGTGAAGAGGCCGCTGTAAAGGGCTGTCTAGACAGCTCCCAGTCGGTCTGTGCCCCCTCGGCTGTTCAGGTGACAGCTCCACCAGTATTTAACTGGGATTAGCGGGCTGTGATTCTCCATCCTTTGTGCCTTGCTTTGTCTAACTCGTTTCTGTTCTCCCATAGCTGGTGGTTCACGTGGGTGTCTCGGGGATGGCCACCACTGTCACGCTGGAGAAGTGTGGCCATAACGTGGGCTACAAAGGCTTGGACAACTGCCGCTTCTGCCCGGGCTCTCAGTGCTGCGTGGAAGGTGGCCCGGAGTGCATCGATTCCATCATCGACATGGACACGGTTTGCAAGAGAGTCTCAGCACTGGGGCTGGACGTCACGGTCACTATATCGAAGGATGCTGGCAGGTACGGGATGGCAGTGATGGATGGGGAGAAGAGATTCGTATCGCCGTGCTTGTTCCCTCCGTGCTCAGCCACGAGGCCCGCACGCTTCTAACGGGGTTGGCAGCACTCTCTGTTCTTCTGCAGTCACACATTTATGATGGGAAACGCCGAGATTTTTACGTTTTGTTGTCCCGGCTGAGATTAAAGCAATTACAGACTCGCTACACCTGGCTCGCATCGCGCTTTTTATTGCAGGATGTTGCTGCAATGCTGAATGAAAAGAACACAGGTTGTCCTGTCCTGCAGTTTGCATGCTGTATTTGTTGCTAAATAAGCTCTGTTTTTATATTTCAGGTACCTCTGTGACTTCACTTACTACACTTCCTTGTACCAGAGCCGTGGGAGGTCAGCTTTTGTTCATGTGCCTCCGCTGGGAAAACCATACACTGCAGAACAGCTGGGTCGGGCCCTACAGGCTATCATAGAAGAAATGCTTGATGTTTTGGAGCATTCGGAAGACAAAATCAATTGTCAGCATGAACACTGAAAGGGGGCAGAAGCCCTCCTAGTATTGCACTTCCAAAACTTCCCCTGCTACAGACGTACTGGGGAAAATGGTCTGAAACGTACAGAACGAGAATTGGAGACCTCAAAAAATGAAAATTCCACTTCTAGAAATTGACGTTTTTTTTGTCAAATGTGCACATTTCAGCCTAGGCGACGAAGGATTCGAGATCTCTTCTTTAAAACACCTGCGACCACTCATTCCTGAAGTGTGTGTGTGCGCTGTGCTTTATCCAGAGCTTGTCTGTTGGTCCAGTGACAGCTCCCGACCAGTCTCATGCTGTGCAGAGGGAAAGTTTCTCACCTGGACTTGGCGTTCGGGTGCAGGGAATTAATAACTCCGTCCTCTGATGACTAGTTCTTAAGTCGAAAGCTTTGCTTTCATTTTGCTTTGTTTTTTTTTTCCCTCTTTGGCCCGAATTATAGGTTCTGATGTAAGAGTATAACTGAGGATGGCAGGAGTGGAGTGGGTTTGCCTGTTGTAAAAGTTTGTTGGAGCTGAGGAGTCTTCAAAATTGCTTTTGAAATTGAAAGCGCATTTTAGTTGCTGATCTCTCGTCCTGCTTCTCCAAGTATTAGTCGGGTCCTCGTTGATGTGCTGGTTAACTGCTAGCTGCAGATAGCAGGGGGGTGGTTTGGGCTCCTTTTGTTGCAGGAGATCGCTGGTTTTAGATACCGTACGAACCTACCTTGCGCCAAATATTTCCAAATGTCTTTTTTTATGAGGCTCTCGATGCCACCTTCCTCACTCAAATCAACCATATACCTCCTGTACAAAACACATTGTTTCATATGTGTATAAAGCAAATCATTAGCGGTTAAATAGCTTTGCTAAAGGCCACTTTCTCCACAGGAGATCTTTATCGTAGACTCTTGGTGCTAGCTGTTATTTTTAAGGTGAAGGCTGACTAATTTATAACTTCCTTAGCTATGAACTTTCGTTCTCGTTAAAGGTTAGGCAAAGAGTAATGTTTAACTTAAATTCTGAGTTGCCGCCTTGATTTATTATAGGCATAAATATGCGAACGTGTGGATTCAGAGACGTTCTGCCAAATGAGATCTTCTAAAATCCTAAACCTCCTCCCCCTGTCTGGGAACCAGAGGCAATGATTTGAGAACCAGGAATGCTGCTTAGGGTGAGTGTTCCCGGCTGTTTGTTAGTGCCCCCCTCCCAATGGGAGGGTACGAAGCACTGCTTCTGGTGGGGGCTTTCCCAGGAATTCCCTTGGGAAAGCGTACCTGCAGGTTCTGAGCAGGACTTTAAACGTTTCTGACACTTGTCACGTAGGTTTGGTTCCAAATTACAAGACTCCAGTGAAAGACAGGTGATGTTAGGTGGGAACAGACCCCAAACTGGTCGTTGATGGCCAGTAGGTCTTATCAAGGAGCCATTTAAAAGAAGAGGTCTGTGATTTGATTCTAATGCTATTACAGATATATATAAATATATATATATATAAAGCAGCTTTTTGAAATGTTGTAGAATATCCTTATTTTAATTTTTTTCTAATTATGAACGATTCTGCTATAGTATCTCTCAGTGAGAGCTGCCACTAACGTGCTGTTTTCCAGTAGAAGTCTAGTGATGACAGAGGAAATGCCACTTCTCCTCGGAAGCCTTGCGCAAGGGCGAAGCCTTCTGCAGTTGCAGTAACTTCGCCAAGGGGATCTGGGTATGAAGATGTTTGGTTTACCGAGGAAATTCCCTCTGTACTTAGTGTACAGGCTTTCCTGATCAAAAGAGTTTGCCTTCAAAGTCAATGTTCTCTTTTGCTTTCGAAGTAGCACTTATCAGATCGTCGGCAGGCAGGCAGGCTTTCTGATTAGTAATTTATTATATTTAATATTTTGTTTAAATATTCGTGACTTGACACGGTTTTGCAAATAGTTGAGCTACTTATCCCCTCGTAGAGTTCTTCCTTTATCTGCTAAGAAGTTCTTTGTCTTCGGTGTATCCTAGCTGCTAAACTTTTAAGAGATTTGTGTACCTGGCTACGTTCAGCGATCAATTTAAGTCATTTTCAGTGTTGCTATTTAATTTCCGTGTGATGTAGTCGTGGATGAAAGGGGAGTGGGAGACCGATGGCTGTGGGAAATGCCCACGGGGTCGAAGCAGGCGTAGGACCCACAGTGTTCGTGTGTCGAGGCAGGAGGGATGATGCAGATCCCTGCCTGGCCTCGAGCCCTGTCCACAAGCAGAGTCCATTTGTCCCCTGAGTTTCAGCATGTTCCTGCTGCTCGTTCAGGCTTCCTTTGGGACCACCTGGGACATCCCTGCCGGGAGCACGGCGCAGTTCACCCGGGGATGCTCGTGGTGGGCTTGAGGAAGCTCCGAAACGCACCAGCAGGGAAGGCAGCGGCTGCTTTTGGGGATGTGGCTCTGCAAATTAGCTTAATCAGCCCTTGGGGTATTTCCTGCTCAGCGTCTGCCCTCTTCCCAGAAGTGTCTCGGGTCCTCTCAGGGGGAAAGCCTTGAGCTGGCTCCTGTGACTTGTGTTTGTCCGAGGCCTGCGGTAGCTGACCTGCTGTGTGCCACTGTGGACATCTCATTTTCAGAAATACTTGGAGCATTCCTTGCAGCCTTTCCTCCTAACCCATTTTCGTGAAGCTCCCCCGTGGCCGGGTTCTTAGAAAGCATAATTTATTTTATAATCTTCTGGCTTTTTGAGAAGTAGTCCTCAGAGATCATGTTTGTAAGGGGTGTCTTGGTGGTAGAGAGATTTTGTATAGTGAAACTTTTTAATGCCATTAAGCTAATTTTATTTAATCTGCCCTAAATTAAATAATTTTTTTTTGAAAGCTTTTTGTTAAATCCATTAATTCTTGCCACTTTTCGTGTAGGAGCGTATTTTCTTTGGAAGTATCACATAAAAATGATGCAGAGCTTCAAAGAGCTGATGCTTTGTGTACTGCTTACTGTCTGCTTTCTCTTCCAGATCATCAATAAATAGAATTTGCTAATTTGCACTGACTGGGAGACCTGCTGCCGACTACAAAAAGCTTTTGTGCTAGTGAGTAAGCGTAGGAAGTTCAGGTTTAGCGTTAATTACAGTGCCTGCAATTTATAACATGTGAAAGCTGATGAAGTTTTAGGGTCCTGTGACTGCAGAATTGTCTCTGGTGATGCACGTCACCGAGGAACGGGGGTGAGAATATTTTGTGTGTTAAGAGAGAATTGGGGAGGTTCCAATGTATCGGGTCTGATGTCATTTTATCTGCTTGCCAACAGCGTGGAGTAGGAATTGGCTCGTGTGTTGGTGAGGTTTGGTGATGACAATTTACTTGTTTCAGTTCTTAAATGCTGTGGAGGACTTTGAGGAGCTCCAGATACCCGGATACTCCTTTGTCGCTTGGTGATGTGGTGTCAGGAGATTCTTCCTTTGAATTAAACCTGGTAATCTCTTATGAGACACTGCAAAAACAGAAAAAAAAAAAGATCCTGTGAACTTGAAAGCTTCTTTGCCTTGTGGGGATGTGACTGAAGGCAAACACAGAAGCTGTTCGTATTTTTGGGGCACCTCTGTGCCAAAATCCATAGGAATCCCACGAAGGAGTTTACGCTTGTTTGGAGTATTCCCCAATCTGATTGCCTCCTCTTAAACGTGGTGGAAGTGGGAAGGGATGAAAAGGTCATGAGGATGGTTAGAGGTGGTGAGAGTGGTTGGGACATGATGCAGCCGAGGGCTGCTTGGCTCAGGAGTCCCTCGCGGAGGGACCTGACTGAGGCCGTTCAGAAGTTTAGGGCTTGATGAACTCTAGCTTGCTCTGCTTTCACCCCAAAGACGAGGCGTCCAGAGTAAATGTAGCAGGAACGCTGCCTCCTGGCAGAAATGGGGAAGGCGTTGGTCTGCAGGCAGCCCCGCACCGTGCTGCGGCACTGGGAGCACTGGGACGGCCGCGCTGAACCGGCTCCGTCTTGCGGGGTTGCGCCGAAATGCGTGGTAAGTCCGGTAGGAAACTGACCTCGTGTTTACTCACCTAGGCTTAGATGTAGCATCCAAACTCCGTGCGTCTCTCCTGCTGTTGTGCAGGCGATATTTAACCTCCCAGTGCCTCGGTCAGCTGGCAAAAGGGGATTTGTTGCGGGCCGCTCATGGCGTGCCAACTGGACAGCACAGACTCCCCGTGTCACTGTTCCTGTTAACGAGAAGTCTGAAAAAGTTAGAATTACTGAAATTTCTCCTGGTACTCACATAATCTTCATTTAATTGTAGTATTTGTTGACCTCGTGTGCGGTCTTTCCTAGGTGGTGTAGGGAAGGAGTGGCAGGAGGCGCTGCTCAAAAGCAAAAGGAGGAAAACCTGGGGTGAGTTCAGCTGCTGATCCCCCGCTAACACGAGAGCCTGGAGCAGCTGTCACGACCTGACCGTGGTATTCCATGGTTTAATTAGTCGTGACTTGTGCATCTTCTTTAAATTACAGCGTGTTTCTGACTCTAACCACACGGTCTGTGCTCAGACACCGAGCTGCTCTAAAAACGAGCGGTGGTGTTGGACTGGAAACCAGGACGTTTTAGGTGCAGGCAGTACGCTGGTGTGGCGGTGTTTTTGGTTTTTAATTCTGACTTTCAGATCTCATCCTGCAGTGCAGACGTTAAAATTATTGCCGATTTATTTGTACTCCTAGAGCGTACTTCCACCAAGTAACCTCATTCCTGTTGTCTACTTGCTTCGATACGCTATCCAATAATAATATTTTGATGAGAAATTTCAGAGTTGCAGAGGCTTTTTTCAAGTATTTTTTGTTGGCTTGGATAAAATACCCCTAGTTGCTACTGTAAGTACCCGTCTTAAAATAACATAGGTGGATTTGTCCTTTTTTGCACCAGAAACCCCAATGTTTTGTGGTATAAAGTGCACTTTTTCTTAAAACTTGTCTTCATGTCTGATTAGTGTCTTATGTGACTGAAGTGAGATTCTGCTGAACGAAGCAGAAACGAAGCTGAGGACGTCGTTAATTCTTCTTTGTATTAATTAAAACCCGAGATCTGCTTCTGGTCCGTCTGCTTTAAGACAAAGTAGGGAACAAAATGCCTCCCCGTAGGTAGGAATTAAATATAGGAAATGAAACCGTACACTGCCCTTAAATGAAACTCCGTGCTACTGAAGTACACGTTCAGGTTTGATATTGCACCAGCTTCTTAAATTGCAAATGTTTACTTTGATTAAACAGGGAGTGCCTTGTCCTGTGCTGGGCTCACTTTTGGGAAGCAGAGCGGTGGCGATGGGGACGGACGAGCCTTTTGCACGTGGGGTGGGTGGAACGAGCGGGCTTCATCACCGGGAGAAGCTGCTGGGCTCGCTCAGCACCCCCTTTACCCAAGTATTCAGAACCTGCACTGAATCGAGCTCCAGGTTTTCAGAAACCCGCTCAGACGCGAGAAATTATAAAAATCAGAGCATTTGCTACTTAGTTAATTAGCTTGGCCAAATTCTTTGAGGTCATTCTGTCCGTTCTTCGAGGTGACACATTTCTTCTGGGCTCGGATGTGCATGGTCCAGCATCACTCCTCCTTTCGGGTCCTCTTTTCGGGTCCTCCTTTTGGGTCCTCCTCTCGTTCCTCGTGGTGAACCACGCGGTGTCTGTCTGGGTATCTCAGGTGTCGCCAATCTCATGCTCATCAGGGCTCTTGGAGCCACAATTAGGAATCCGTCGGGGGCTTCTGTTTTTCTCAGTGTGTTCTTGCAGTGCCTTGTAAACCCAAACAATCTCGTGTGTCACAAAAGGGCTGTGTAATAAAGAACCCGTAACAGACTTTCGGCTTGCTATGACTAGACTGGACTTTGTAACTGAAAATTTAAACTGATGTTTCAAAGTAAATAAAGAGTTTAACTCTGAACAGCCTTTGGGAGGACTGATTTTTAAAGGTGCCTTCTGTAGGGCGGTCGGTGCGTGCTGTTGGAGGTGAGTCCCTGGGCTGCTTGGATCTCCTGCCCTGCCCTTTATCTTGCTGTTTGTTATAAATTGGTTCAGGAAGGTGTCTGTCGCTCCGTTACGTTCTGCGATCTGCTCCAGAGAGAAAATTTACCTCGAGGTACAAAGGAAGAACATGGATAAAGCCAGAATACACGGAGTGCTGCACCGAGATACCGCTTATGTAAATATTGTTCAAACTTGCTGATATTTAGATACAGAGGCCCGGGGATTGTCCTCCCCTGACTTGATGAAGACTCTTGAAAGTAACGCAGCAGCACGGTTTGTTCCTGAAGAGCCAGAAATTTGGGGAAGCAAAAGCCACTTAAGGCATTCCTTTGCAAGTTTGAAACTCACCCGTTTCACTAAGAATTCCTGGAGGCAGCGCTGAAGAGATCTGGTGAACAACCCCCTTCGTGCTTCTCTCCCACCAGTCCTGCTCAGATTTCTGTTTCGTTTTGTGTAAGGCAAGAGCTTGGAGAGCTGAGGTTGGAGCCTCTGCGCATCACCTGCTGGAATTGGGGCAAGACTACCTGCTTTTCCACACCCCATGGCGTTAAACAAAAAATAACTCCTCTTTCCTCGTTAGATGAGGTATCTGTATGGCCCAGTCCCCCCAGCAAATGTTCCTGGCTTCCTGCGAGCTGCTCACAAGGGGCATAAATCCGAGGTAATGGTAAAGCACGGGTAACGTGCTGGTGATCCCTGAATCTCTTTGGTCTTTTCCAGATCTGCTAATGAAAAATGGAAATCTCCTGGCTTTGTGCGCCCTGCGCTGTCCCCACACGATGGGGAACTGGGGAGGTTCCTGCTCCTTCTCTCTGGTGGTAGGGGCTTTCTGCACCCTTGGGGGATGCAGGCGGGGTGAACCAAGCAGCAGAAGGCACAAAATCCAGCACAGGGCTCTCGAGCAGCGTGGCATTGCGTGCCCCAGTCCCCGAGCTCTCTCCAAAAACACCTCCTCGCCTCGCCGGGTCCCTCCGGTGCCATCGATCATGGGGCTGCTGCCGTCGGGGTGGCACAAGGTGCCTTCAGCAGAGAGCCCCGTGGCCACTGGTCCTGACTGGGAGCAAACTGGGGACGTGGGGAGGGCTGGTGCGGTGCCCGTGCCACCAGATGGTGCTGCCAGACAGCCGATGCTGGCCGGACAGACGGACAGACAGCGGGCAGGATTTGTCCCGGTGCTCATCGCCACCGGCTGGGGCTGGAGCAGCCACCCCAGGGACGAGGCTTCCTTGGGTAGCCCCAGTTTGGGGGCTTCTGGTGGCTGTGATGGGAGGAGAGCTGAGCATCACCCTGCCCAGGAACAGCACCTGGCACCTGAAATAGCGAGGGGAGATTGCAGCAGGCTGCTGGCTCAGCCCTTGTGCCCGCAGCGGGCTGGGCAGCCCCATTGCTGCAGAGGGCAGGAGGCTGCCCCAGCGCTTGGATGGGGCTCAGGAGCGCATCCACGAGGAGCTCCTGGCACAAAAGCTGTGCTGTGAGGTCTCGGCGTGCCCCCAGCCCTGTGGTTTGTGGCTGGAGAGGGGATCAAAAAGGAAAAATGTGTGGGTTTTGTTGGACCCCTGCTTTTTCCCTATATTTTTGATGTCCAAGCTCAGTTTGGGCACATTTATTTCCCAACCTGCCCCGACCAGCCCAGCCCTCTGGTCCTCCCGCACAGCCAGGCACTGAATTATCCCTAAATTTATCCCCTTCCCAGCTGCTTTTATCCCCCTCGCAGCTGCCCGGCGCTGACAGGGTGCCGGAGAGGCCAAAGCCCTCCCTGGCCGTGAGCCGCAGCACGTGCAGCCGCGTGAGCTGGCGCTGATGAAATCATGCTGTAACTCCCTTTCCAAGGTGATAAGCCTTTCCTGCAAGGTGCTGTTCCCGGGGTGATGTCACGCAGCCCTTTGCTGATGAGGCCGTTTTGAAACCTGAACTCTCTGCAGGGAGAGGTTCGGGTTCGTGCTGGACGCCGCGCGGCTCAGCCCGGCGCATCCTCGGCTCGCGCTCCTGGGCTGCAAATCCCGGGGGAGCCCCCTCGGTGGGGTGGATCCCAATCGGTCTGAAACATTTTCTTTCTGTCTCACAACGTCCTCGTCTCGCTGGGAGCCTGCTCCCTTTCTTTTCTTCCTCCCCTGCCCCAAAACCCTCTGAACTTGCCCTAAATGAAGTGGGATTTTTGGGCAGCGCCCAGCTGGCCGCGCGCCCTCGGCGCGTTTCCCCGGCGCGTGAATCAAAGCCACCCTCCTCCTCCTCTCCATCCTGGAGATCCTATGTGCCTGTAGGATTTCCACCTCCCCACCCAACGAGCTGTTCTCGATAGTCTATAACTTTATTTCTGGGGCTTTCTCAAAAAAAAAAAAATCCAAGCCCGGCCTAAACCCCCTTGTCCTTTGGTGTCCCCTCTCTGCTCAGGAAGCACAAATCCTTCCGAATATTCCCGTGGTCCCGCTGCAGTGCTGCGTTCCTGCACGAAGATGGGGTTGGGATCCTTCGATGACTTTGTGCTGGGGGTTTGGCTGCGACCGAAAGGGTGCTGCACTCCCCAAAAGGGTGCTGGGCTCCCCAAAAAGCTGCTGTGCTTCCTGGGGAGGTTTCATTCTCATGATTCATCCAAGCCATGGATGAAGCCATCCAGGCTCGGCGCTGCAGGGTTTTGGGGAGCTCTGTGCTCTCCTTCCTGCAGTGCCTCCTGTGCGCTCCTCTGGGACGTGTCCCGGTGCTGGGGACAAGACCAGGAGCTTCCCCCAGGCACACCCCAAGGTTGGTGGCTTGGGGACATCGGAGGGGCACGGCACGGCCCCGCTTCGATGGGGAGAGGCTCCTGACATTAAAAATCTTCTCCCCAAAGCCATTCCTCAAACACCACGCTGGGCTCAGCCGGGGTGAGCTGCCCCAAATGCCAGCGGTCCCAAATGCCACCAACCTTCGTGCCCCAAGGGGAAGCGTCCCTGCAACCCCAGAGCCTCACAGAGCGTGGACCCAAACCCTCGTGCCCCTGCCGTGCGAATCCGTCGGCCGGGGCCGGGCGGGATGCTTGCAGCACGCAGGAAACTTTCTTGTGCCGGGGCCGATGGTGTAAGCAGGTGTTTGGGGCAGCAGCTGGGGATTTCCATTTTTGGCCATGGGATTTGAGTAATTTCCTGTATTGCATGGGCAAAGGGGTCTGGGAATCCAAGTTAATCTTTGACCACGAGTGCAGTCAGGTCAGAAAAGTCTTTTCCAAGTGGAGCAGAAGCCTCGCTTTTTGGCAAATGCCGTGAGCAGAACAAAAGGGGGGGACGCGAGCCCAGCAGCAGCAGCAGCACAAAGGTGCTCGTTGCTCACCTGATCCGGCCTGGTTGGGTTTTGTTTAGGAATGGCTAAAGGTCGGCAAGATTTCCATTGTGCTTGTTCATTGTGACGCGGGGAGGGCACGAGAGCGGCACCGGCCATCCCCAGCCGCGGTGTCTGAGCTCTCCGTGCCCATTTCCTCGCCTGGAATGAAACAGGAGCCTGAAACCTCCCCGCTGCAGGCTCGTGCATGATGCTCTTGGCCTCAAACACCCCCCGAAAAATCATCGCCCGGCTCACTGCAGGGCTTTGCAGGAAACCTCCCCGTCCATCACCCGAATTTCCCACCCGGAGCATCCCCAGCAGGCTCCGAGCTCGGCTACGACACCGGGACCCCGAGCCCAGCCCCTGTGAGGTTTTCCACCCCCCAGGGCCCTCCAAGATTTTTGGCAGCAGGGGCTCAGCAGCGTGCGGGGCAGCTCGGTGCCTCTGCCGCGATCCCAACCCCTGCTGCCAAAAATCTTGGAGGGCTCCTCCCTGCCCGTCCCCGCAGCACCCCTCGGCTCAGCACTGGGCAGGACGGCGACGGCACCGGGTAGGCGCGAGCGATGCTCAGGGTCCTGCTCCTTTTCCGAGCCCTTCTCCAGCTTCTCCAGCACTGCAGGGCCGGGGCTGGGCGGCGGCTGGTGGGGAAGTGGCGGCCGCCCCTGTTCCTCCTTGGGGCACCGGCTCTCAGCTCACAGCGGGGCTGCTTCCTGCGGGGCCGCCGGGCGCAGGAGATGGCCCCCGCTGTGCTCGGGGCTGGACCGCATCCTGTCCCGAGGTGGGGACAGAAGGCAGGGAGGTTATTTACGTCCTGCCGGGCTCAGCAGCTCCGGCTTTGAACTTCTTGCTGGGCGTTTCGCCGGCCCGTTCCTCGCCGGCCTCCGCGGGATGCTCCACCTGCTGCTTCAGTCATCCAATCTCCCCGTTTCCACCCGTGGAATGGCTCGGTTGGATAAATCCAATATGAAAATAATTAAAATAATTAAAATAATTAAAATAATTAAAATAATTAAAATACGGGTTGGCCGAAGGAGAGGGAAGAAGGAAAAGATGCTCCCTAGGCTCACAGCCGAGGCTTTGTTCCCATAAAGCATCTTTCAGGCTGGTGAGGACACGCTGGGAAGTTTCCTAACGGGTCACTCGGCACCCACAGCCGCTGCAATTCAAGATAACTTTTATTGCTCTTGCCGGACTGTAAATCTCCGACTTCACCGCCTGGCGCCTTTTGGGGAAAAAACATCCGGCTTCGGCCAACTTTGATGCTCCCCACATGCTGCCCCCCCCGTGCGTCAGCCGCAGAGGGGCCGGTGGCACGCGGCGCGCCCACGGCTCAGAAAAGCGTTGCAAAAGCAGAACTGCAAAGCTGTAGAAGTTTGCCGTGTCTTGCTCAACGGCCAGGCACGACGTGATGGTTTTTTGTTTTTTTTTGGGGGGGGACATCTCGTTCTACACCCACACAGCTCAAAATTTGGAGGATTGCTCCGGGGGCTGCGCCGCGGAGCTGGAGATGCTCGGGGACGGCACGGTGGCGCGGTGCCTTGAGCAGCCACCGCTGGCCCCGCAGAGCTGCTCCCTCGCAGCCTCCTCTGTGCCTGTCCCTGTGCCTGCAATGGGGACAGCAGCGGTGTTGTGCCACCCTGTGCCACCCCAGGCCAGCACCCATGGGTGCTGAGCTCTCCGTAGGGCGCAGCGCTCGAGGAAAGGTGGCTCCCGCCGCGACGCCGCTGAGGTTTCCTCAGGAGCCGCGTGTGGGATCTGTTTCCAACCCAGAGGAACCAAAAGTGGGGCAGGGAGGGGCTCTGCTCAGGGAAAGGCAGCGTGGAGGCAGGTGTTTTTTTTGGGGGGGTCCCCTGCCTGCTCCCCTTTATCCCCCCATCCAGAGCTGGGGTGGAGCGGGGCGATCCCCTGCACGTGACGCTGCTCGTGCTGAGGAGCTGACGGTTTCACGTGGCTCTGGGTGAAACGTTTCTTCTCCTTTTTGCCTCGGGCAAACCTCGAGAATCTGGGTGAGAAAGGCAGGAAGGATGCTTGAACCCGTGCTCCCGAGGAGGAGCTGGAGATAAACAGAGCTAAATCCCGGGCTCAGGGTAATCCCCCCCGCGGGAGCAGTTAAGGACCGGGCGCTTGGCTCGGCTGCAGGAAATTCGGCCTCGTGTGCCCCAGGTCCCCAGGCACAGGAGGACAGCGAGGGGCTCGTCCCCCCAGGGCTGGGCTCGTGTCCCCCCTGTGCTTGTGGCTTTGGAGATGGGGTGGACGGCCCCGTGCTGGCTCAGCCTCGTGTCTCGCCTCCGTTTTGGGGGCGATTGCCAGGTTCTGCCCCTCGCCGACCCCCCGGGGCTCAGCCCATCTCCCTGCCGCCCCGATAAAAAGCTCGCACTGATCCCCACGGAGCTCCTCGTGCCGTGAGAGCCCCACCGACGCGTCCCTGCGCCCTTCCCGGTGTCTCCACCACCTCCTCCAAGCGAGGATCCCGTGGCTCCGGCTCTCCTTTGGGCTCGCCTGCGCACGGGCAACCCCGGCTGGACCCGTGCCACCGCGGCGTGCCTGGCACCCTCCCGGCTGCCCTCAGAAATGATGCAAACGCCGCCCGGGTTTACTTCAGGAGGGACCCGGAGCAGGGGCAGGGAAGTGCAGCAAAGCCGGGCTGCGGTGTCGTCAGCCGGGAACCTCCCGGCTTTGGCTTTTGGAGAAGTTCAAACACCGACCTGCTGCCTCCCGCCCGCACGTCTTGGCACGAGCCGGGCTTCCCAGCCACCTCCCCCCCTGCCTTCCTCTTCCCTCTTTCTGCAGGGCGACAAAAGGGGCTCGAAGGAAGGGTCCCCGACGGGCACCTTGAGCCGTGAGCGTGGCCAATTTGCCAGGGGAACAGGAGGGAGATGAGGACGCGGGGCTGGACGTGACGCTGGCCACGGCCCCCGCCTGCCCGCACACCTCGGTGCTCCCCTGTCACCCCCCGCCACCGCAGGGACACCGCGTGCCACCTGCGAGGCCACCAGCTGTCCCCCCACAGCCCCGAGCCCCCCGGTATGGTGAGGGGAACCCCTCCACCAGCAGAGAGAGCAGGAGGTGGGAAACGAAGCGAGGCAGCAGGAAACATTCCTCGCCTCCCCGCCGCGAGCAGCCCGGGCTTTGCGCTCCCCGGCCGCGTGCTCACCGCGGCGTCACCGTCACCCACGGGCAGCCCTGGGACGGGGACGGGGAGGGAGAGGAGAGGAGGGGAGGGTGAGGGAGGGGGGGTTGGGGGGGGGCGGGCAAAGTCCCGCTCTTATAAAGCCAGGTCTGGTCCTCTTCATTCATTCTCCTGGCGGCATCGATAAGAGCCGCTCGCGGAGCCTTTGCGCAAGAGGTTTTGCAACCGGGGCCGCTCGGTGCGATGCTGCCGGGCGCGCTGCGGGGTCTGGGGGCCGCCACCATCTGCCTGCAGCTCCTGCTGCTCCTGGGGGGCGCGGAGCCGCGGCCCCACGGGTGGGATGAGGAGAGGCTGCAGGTGGAAAGCATCAAAAGGAGCATCCTGGAGCGGCTGGGGATGCCTGCGCCCCCCGTCCCGCGGCGCAGGCTGGACCAGGAGAGCATCAGGAGGGCGCAGCAGCAGTACGAGCAGAAGGTGGCCGAGCTGATGGGGAACCGCAGCCGGGAGGAGGTGGCGGTGGCGGTGGCCGGGACCAGGAGGCTGCACAGCCTGATAGCCAGCCGTAAGTAGAGGTGGCCCCGTTGCCATCGGGAGACCCCCCTGTGGGGTCTGGGTCCGTGCTGGGGTGACATGTCCTGGCATGGGGTGACATGTCCTGCTATGGGGTGACATGTCCTGTTATGGGGTGACATGTCCTGGCATGGGGTGACATGTCCTGCTATGGGGTGACATGTCCTGTTATGGGGTGACATGTCCTGGCATGGGGTGACATGTCCTGCTGTGGGGTGACATGTCCTGCTATAGGGTGACATGTCCTGCCCTGTCCCTGAGCCGTGTCCCGCACGCTGCCCCAACATGTGCTAGGACATGATCGGGCATGAATCCGCTGCTGTCACCTTCCTTCCTCCTCCTCTTCCTCCTCCTCCTCCTTCTCCTTTTCCTCCTCCTCCTCCTCCTCCCAGCCGCTTCCCCTACTCGGGCCGGGGGAGGAGTGGCCGTTCCCAGCTCTTTGGCTGCAAAACGCCAAGATTGGGGAATTCCAGATAAAAGCGGGTTCTGCGGTGCCGCCGTCCCTCGCCTCCCGCTGCTCCCTGCGGACGGGGCTTTAACCAAACCCGGGGGAATTTGGGGTTATATTCGGCTGCTGCTCGGGCTGGGGGTCCCCGCGTGTCCGGCACCCCCGGGGGTGGAGGCTGGGGATGGACCCTGTGGGGTCGGGATCCCGTGGGCTCCGGGCGATTCCCTGGAGGTGGCCGCGGGGCAGCTGCGTGGTTTGGCTGCCGGACAAGGAGCTGACCACAAGGCTTGACTCAGGGCTGGATTTCCAGCTCTTACATCAGCTCTCCTTCCTGTCCCCGCAGTGCGACACCGGACAGAGCCCTCCCGAGGAGAGCAGGACCCCCACGGGGACCAGGACCCCCATGGGGACCAGGACCCGCGGGGTCCCTACCGCTACCACCTCGTCGTGTCCCGCACGGAGGATTTCCACCGGCGCCTGCGGGTGGTGCAAGCAGAGCTGAAGCTCTTCAAGCAATCCCTGGCCTCGGGGCAGCCCCAGGTCAGCATTTACACACCGGGGGGACCCGGGGGAGCCCCCCAGCTCCTGCAAACCCAAGAGCTCGACCCCGACACTCCAAGCGTGGACCTGACGGTGCCCGTCCGGCGCTGGGCTGCCGGTGCCGAGGCCAAGCTGCAGCTGGAGCTGGCCTTCACCACCAACATCTCAGCCTCACCGGTGGGCTCAGGAGCCGAAACGGCGGTGCTGGAGGTGGAAACCCTCGAGGCCACGAGGCCGAGGGCCCGGAGAGCCCGCGGGCTGGACGAGGAGTGCAGGAAGAGCGAGGGCAAGTGCTGCCTCAAGTCGCTCAAGGTGTCCTTCCAGGACATCGGCTGGTCGGACTGGGTGATCGCCCCCAACAGCTACTACATGAGGTTCTGCGAAGGTTCCTGCCCCCATAACTACAAGCCGGCCAGCATGCACGCCCAGATCAAAGCCCGCATGCACTCCCTCTCCAAAGCCACCCCGGCGCCCTGCTGCGTGCCCGCCGCCTACGACCCCATGGTGCTGATGCACTACGACGGCGAGGGCAGGCTGGTCTCCACCGTCTTCGAGGACATGCTGGTCACCAAGTGCCACTGCGCCTGAAGTCCCCTCGCCTTCTGGCACAGGATGGGGACTCATCCCCCCCTGGGTGGTGGCAGAGCCCCCCCAGCACCAGCGCTCCAAAAAGCAGAGCCAGGGGACGAAATGTGCACGGAACGGCTCAGCCCCGTCCCGAGGACACGATCCCTTCTCCAGTCTCCAGCTGAGATCACTTCCACTCCACAGGCCACCGTAACTTATTCACCCTCTCCTCCCTTATTTAAAGCGTTTTTTATTTGGTAGCCGGGCTCTTCCCACCGGAGGCAGGACGGGCACGGCAGCGGGGCTGTCCCCAGGTGGCCGCGGTGCGCCCCGGTGCCCGCTCCCCTCTGGTTCCAGATTTATTTATACGCCTCTTATTTATTGCTAACTTATTGTATCACGCGGAGAGAGACGTTCTTGGGAGTTTTCGTTGTTTTTTTTTTTTTTCTTTTGTATTTTGTATATTTCCATAAAAAAAATAGCAATGGAAACCAATAAAGTGATGGGAACCAGGCTGGTGGTGGTGAGCTCCCTGGGGCGCACGGGACCCGAGCCCTGCGGTGGTCCCCGTTGTGTCCCCCCCACACCCCCAGCACCCACGGCCATCCGGGAGGTGGCTTCTCACGGCTCTGCCTGTAAATCCTTTGGCTTTCCGGGGTCAGGCCAGCCCCATCCCTGCCCTGCAAGCCCAGCGGGTGAGTAATCCCTGGGCGATGGTCCCAGGGACCTTTGGTTTGTTTGTGGCCTTGAAACGGGCGCTGGGCGCAGCCTTGACCCCGGGGCCATCGGGCTGGGAAGCGGCTGCTGCCACTTCCAGGCTCCTGTGGCAACGGGACTGGTGAAAAGGGGGCATGGGATGGGGGGACCCCCACCCCGGGGATGTGGGCTTTGGGGGTATGGGCTTGAGGGGCACGGGGTAGGGGTCCTCCACCCTCAGGATGTGGGGTTTGGAGGCCAGAGCTTGAACGGGTGTGGGATATGGGGCCCACCACGATGGGGGTGTGGGGCTTGGGGACCAGGGTTTGAGGGATGAGGGGCATGGGGACGTGTCCTTGAGGGTCCTGTCACCTCCGCTGCAGGGACACGGGCTCTGAGGGCTCTGGGGACCTTCCTGGGGACCTCATGTGGCTCCGTCAGGTTGCAGACCAGGAGCTACGCGTGGGATTTGGGGCAGTTACAACATTTAATGCATCACGGTGGAGCAACCCCGAGACCCGCACAGGGCTGGGAGGGCACCTGGGTGCGCCATGGCCCCATGTCCCCCTTCCCCTCCAGCCATCTCCCAGGGTTTGTACCCTCACAGTGATGGCCTTGGAGATCTTGTCCCAAAGCGGTGCCTTTCCTCTTTACCCCAAACTGACAGATTTGGCAGGAAAACAGCGAGGTCGATCCCATTTCCTGGGTGTCCCCAACCACCAGGCGCGTCCCCACGTTCACGGCCACCCCGACACCCCAAAAGAGGAGCCGCACACCGCGGGTGCCCCACGGCACCCAGCCCTTCCTGGGAACCCGATGCTCCCAGCAGGGTGCGGGGGGACCCCCTGCACCCCTAACCCAGCCCTGGGGACCCCCGGGGGACCCCACATCTGGTGGGGGCCACCCGTCGCCGTCCCCTGGGTGCAAAGCCCGGGGAGAAGCGGCCGCTTCCGCTCCCCATCCCAGGCAGGAAACGACTGCAGAGCAGTTTTGCTTTAATTGCAAAAAAAAAAAAAAAAAAAAACAAAAACTAACCCAAAACCCAACCCTCTGCTTCCCCATCACGGCCACCGGGCAGCTGTGACCCCCGCCCCCCGCCAGGGTCCCTGTCCCCTCACTTGTCGGGGACGACGTAGACCTCCTCGCTGGGGGGCCCCGTGTTGGCGTAGATGGGCTGCTCCCCGGCGTCGCTCTCCATAAAATAGGTGTCGTCCGTGGGAACCTGCGGGCTGGGGACACGGGGGGGTCACCGGGGGGGGGAAATGTCCCCCTCTTGTCCCACCCCGAGTGGTTCTGGGGGCTCAGCAGGGGGTGAAAGGGAATGGGTTTGGCACCAAAAGTGGCCGGTCCTTGGGTTTGGTGGGGTGGGTGGGGGGAGGTGGGGTGGGGATGGGGATGGGATGGGATGGGGATGGGATTGGGATGGGGATGGGGGTGGGATGGGGATGGGATGGGATGGAATGGGGATTGGGATGGGGATGGGAATGGGGATGGGATTGGAACTGGGATGGAATGGGGATGGGATGGGGATGGGGATTGGGATTAGGATGGGGAATGAGAAATGGATGGGAATGGGGTTGGGATTGGGATGGGATGGGATGGGGATGGGATTTGGATGGGGATGGGGATGGGGATGGGATTGGGATTGGGATTGGGATTGGGATGGGGATGGGGATGGGGAATGAGAATTGGATGGGAATGGGGATGGGTTTGGGACGGGATGGGGATGGGATTTGGATGGGGATGGGATGGGATGGGATGGGGACAGGACACCATTGCATAGGACTGCACGGGGGCTGGTGGCCACATTCCCGTGCTGGCCGCTCACCTGTACTGCGCCTGCTGCCACCCCGGCGTCCCTCCATGCGCGGGGCCGTGCCCGTGCCCACGCAGGGGCTGATGAAGACGTTCTCATATTCGGGTGCCACGCTCACACCCGGAGCAGCGGTGGCAGCAGTGGGGCCGCTCTCAGCCCCGTGGCTGATGTACCGGGGCTGCCCATGGGCCCCGGCGGATTCCCGTTTGCCCCATCCCGCGGTGGTGGTGGTGGCCGCCTTCCTCCTCCGGCGGCGCACGGCGACACCGACGGCCACCGCCACCAGCACGGCCACCACCGCGGCGGTGGCCCCGACGGCAGCGGCCACAACCTTTGGGCCTCCTGGGCACTGTCGCTCGTGGAAATTGGAGACGTTGAAGGTGCCGTTGGGCGCAGCGCAGAGGCAGCTGAGGTTGGCGGCGCGGGCGCAGGCGTCCAGCACGCTGCGCACCGCGTCGCAGCGGCACGGCACGGTCAGGAGGCTCAAGGCTGGGGTGGAAAACGCTGCTGGGGACGGCGGGCAGGGGGTTGTCCTGCAGCTCCAAGCTCTGCAGGGCGACCGTGGAGGCGAAAAAGCCATCGGGGAGCCCCTGCAGTTGGTTGTGCCCCAGGAGGAGCTGCCGCAGGCTCCGTGCCTGCTGCAGGAAGGCGTCGGGGAGCCGCCGCAGGGCGTTGTGCGACAGGTCCAGCTCCTCCAGAGTGGGATCCACTTGGGATGTGGGGCGCACGGCGCCGATGCCGTTGTGGGCCAGGAGCAGCCGGCGCTGCTGCCTGAAGATGCTCCAGTCCAGCTCTGCACACCCCGGGGTGCTGTTGGAGAGGTTCTCCTGCTTGGCCAACTCCGCGGAGAAGCAGGAGGCCGAGGTGGCCGCGGGGAGCAGCAGCAGCAGCAGCGCGGTTGTGGGGTGCCCCATGGCCACCCCGCTGCGGGGAGACAGCTGTCAGCCACACCAACCCCCCCCCGACCCCGCTCTTTCCCCCCTCCCAGTGCCAACCAGCGCGGCCCAGTTCAGCCACGCCGCCCTTCCCGCGCCCTCTCCCCTCGGCACCTCGCACCCACGGGGGATTTGGACGTGTCCCCCCCCCGTGCCCCCCCAGCCCCGGAGCCCCACTCGCCTGCGGCTGGCTCTGTGCGGAAAGAGGAACAGGCGGGCCCTGCCGGCCCCGTGTCACCGCACCGGGGCGTAGCCGGGTCCGGGGGGGTCACCAAAACTGCCCCCACCTCGGGGACCAACATCCAGCAGCCACGGCCGCGTGGGCACCCCACACACCCCAGGACCCCGGGGCTCTGCCCGGCCAGGGGGGTGCAGGAGGGTGGTGGGGGGCGAGCGGGGTGCCAAGGGGTGCCAGCCCCATGGAGGGGGGGGGACAGGGAATGGGGATGGGGGGGTCCCAGCTTGGGTTTGGGGGTCCTGGGGGGGTCCCCACCAGTGTCACGGCTGCGTGGCGCAGCGTGAATTGTGCCCGGCCGGGGTGGCATGGGGGGGTCACGGGTGACACTGGTGACACCGAGCACTTTTTTTGGGGGGGGTCCAGGCTGGGGTCCCCCACACCGTGCCCCATTAAACACGAGGATTTGGGGTCACATCAGGGCAGGGGGAGGTGGCCGTGGTGCCCCCCCCCCACAAAGGGGGGTCACAGCGGGGGACCCCTCCCCACCCTCACCCTCGGGGATTGGGGGTGTCCCGTGTCCCACGCGTGGACCCGGCCCCGCATCGCCCCCCCCCCCCGACCCCGGGGCCGCCCCCGCGTGTCCGTGGGGGTCCGTGGGAGGGGGGGGGGGGGGGCGGCCTCCTCCCGGCCCCGCACGGGCTCCGTGCCCCGGCCACGGCCGCCCCCTGCCGGCTCCGTTGCGCACACGCGCGCACGGCCACGCACACGCGTGCACGCGCACAGCACCGGGCTCGTGCACGCGCATCCTTCCCCGTGCACGCGCACACGAGCGTGCACCCCCCCACACTCCCCCACGCCCCCCCCTTCCCAGCCCCGTGCGCTCCCAGCACACGCGCGTGCACCCCCCCCACGCCCACGCGTGTCCGCGCTCCCGCGCACGGCGCCTGCCTCAAGCTCCCCCCAGCCCCCCCCCTTTTTATCCGTGTCCCCCCCCACCCACGAAGTTTTTGGGGTTCCAACCCCCCGAATTTTTTGGGGTGTCCCCCCCACGAGGTTTTTGGGGACAGCCCCCACGCGGTGTCCCCGTGGGGCCGGGCAGGATCCGGTCCCGGTGTCCCCCCCCCCCCACGTGCCCATCACCGTGGGGCCGGACCCCCCCCACCCCCCAGCTCCTGGGGTGCGGAGGGGACACAAGGGGGTGCTGTGACACCGGGACACGGGGACACGGGGGGGGGGGTGGCAGCGCAGTGCCCCACGGGGGTCTGAGTGTCCCCCGTGGCCCCGTGGCCTCCCCATTTCACCGTGTCCGTGGGGCTGCGCCCCCCACCCCGTCCCTGTCCCTCCTCGTGTCCCTGTCCCCCCCGTCGTTGCCCTAAGTGCACACAATCACCCACTCGTGTCCGTGTCCCCCCTCGTGTCCATGTGCCCCCACTCGTGTCCGTCTCCCCCCTCCACTTGTGTCTGTGCCCCCCCACTCGTGTCCGTGTCCCCCTCCACTCGTGTCCCTGTCTCCCCTTGTGCCCCTTTCCCCCCCGTGTGTCCGTGTCCCCCCTTTGTCTCGGTGCCCCCACTCGTGTCCACTACCCCCTTCCACTCGTGTCTGTGTCCCCCCTCATGTCCCTCTCCCCCACTCGTGTCTATGTCCCCCTTTGTCTCCGTGTCCCCCTTGCCTCCATGACCCCCACTCGTGTCCGTGCCCCCCCACTCGTGTCCGTGTCCCTCCTTTGTCTCTATGCCCCCACTCGTGTCCATGTGCCCCCACTCATGTCTGTGTCCCACCTCGTGCCCCTTTCCCCCACTCGTGTCCGTGTGGCCCCATCTCTGTGTCCCCACTTGTGTCCGTTTCTCCCCCACACTCGTGACCATGCCCCCCCTTTGTCTCGGTGTCCCCCCACTCATGTCCGTGTCCCTCCTTTGTCTCTATGTCCCCACTCGTGCCCCTCTCCCCCACTCATGTCCATGACCCCCCACTCGTGTCCGTGCCCCCCCACTCGTGTCCGTGCCCCCCCACTCGTGTCTGTGCCTCCCCTTTGTCTCAGTGTCCCCTCTCGTGCCCCTTTCCCCCACTCGTGTCCCTGTCCCCCACTCATGTCCGTGCCCCCCCACTTGTGTCCGTGTCCCCCCTTTGTCTCGGTGTCCCCACTCGTGTCCGTCTCCCCTGCCACTCGTGTCCGTGTCCCACTTCGTGCCCCTTTCCCCCACTCATACCCGTGCCCCCCTTGTCTCCATGCCGCCCACTCGTGACCGTGTCCCCCCTTTGTCTTGGTGTCCCCCCCCTGTGTCCGTCTCCCCTTCCACTCGTGTCCGTGTCCCCTCTCGTGCCCCTTTCCCCCACTCATGTCCCTGTCCCCCACTCGTGTCCGTGTCCCCCCCTCGTGCCCATGTCCCCCCTCCTCTCCCTCCCTCCCCTTACCCCCCCCCCCCCTCTTTAATCCCTCCCTCCTTTAACCCCTCCCCCTCCCCTCCCCCTCCCTCCAGCAGCGGGGGGGGCGCTGTCCTCCTGGCGGAACAGCCTGGGCGGGGGGGGGGGGGGAGGAGGGGGAGGGGGCGGGGCCGGGGGGGGGGAGGAGGAGGAGGGGGGGGGGGGGACCCCCGGCCCGGGGTGCGCGGCGGTTTCAAGGCCCCCCCCGGGCGCGGGCGCGGGGCGCGGGGCGCGCGTGGAGCCGGGGAGGAGCCGCGGGGCCCCCCCCCAGGCCCCCCCCCCCCCCGGTTACCGGCCCCGGGATGGCGGTGTTGGGGCCCCCCCCCCCGTGACAGGTGGAGCCGCGCCCCCCCCCCCCCCCCCCCAGCGATGTACGGCAAGGGCAAGGGAGCCGCCGTGCCCTCGGACGGCCAGGCCAGGGAGAAGTGAGTATTGGGGGGGGGGCACCATGGGGGGGGGGCACCATGGGGGGGGGGCACCATGGGGGGGGGGCAACATGGGGGGGGGTAGCGGGGGGGGGTTAATGGGGCTGGGGGGGTGAGGAGGAGGCCGAGGGGGGGGGTGAGGAAGTTTGCCGGGAGCCCCCTGTGGAGGGGGGGGGTAAAGGGGGGGTCGTGGGGGGGTCCTGGGGGGGTTGTGGGGGGGTTATGGGGGGGTTAAAAGGGGTTATGGGGGGGTCCGGGGGGGTCCCGGGGGGGTTCCGGGGGTGTTAATTATGGGGGGGGGGGACGGTGGAGCCCCGCCCCCCTCCGTGCTAAAAGGGGGGGGTCTGGGGTGCTCCTGGGGGTGCTCCCCCCCCACGGTGTCCCCTTCACCCCCCTAAACCCCCCCCCCAAAGGGTGTCCCCCCCCCCCCAATGGGATGTGTCCCCCCCCCCCCCCCCGGTTCTGTGTCCCCACGGGTGGGGGGCACCAGGAAGGGTCAGGGGCTGGGGGGGGAGGTGGGGGGCTGGGGGGGGTTGGGGGGGTTTGGGGGGTCTGGGGGGGTCAGGGGGGTCGTGGGGGGGGGTTAAGGGGGTTGGGGGGGTTGGGGGGTGGGGGGGGCACCCCCTGCTCGGGCCCTTCTGGCCCTGTTTGGTCCCACCCTGATGGGGGGGGGGTCGGGGTCACTGTGGGGGGGGGGCGTTGGGGTCACCCCTGGGGCTTGGGGTCACCGTGGGGGGGGGGGGTTCGGAGTCACCCCCCCCGGGGTGAGCTCCGGCCACCAGCAGCCCCCGCTCCGTAACAACCCATTCATTGCAGCCCCCCCTCAACCCTAAATCCCCCCCCGTGCCCCCCCCCGTGTCCCCCCCCCTTTATATCCCCCCCCCACATCCCCAGGTGTCACCCCCAGGGACTTCACCCCCCCCAAGGGTCACGCTTTGGGGGGTGGCAGCCGCCTGTGCCCCCCCCAGGGTGTCCCACGGCCCCCCCCCAGGGTGTCCCCGTGCCCCCCCCCGCGGTGACACCCCGGTGCCCCCCCCCAGGCTGGCTCTGTACGTCTACGAGTACCTCCTGCACGTGGGCGCCCAGAAATCGCCCAGACCTTCCTGTCCGAGGTAAGACCCCCCCCAATTTGTCCCCTGGGGGGGGGGCACACACACAGTGACCCCCCCCCCGGCTGGTGTGTGACCCCCCCCATGTGTCCGTCCCCCCCCAGATCCGATGGGAGAAGAACATCACGCTGGGCGAGCCAGCCGGGCTTCCTGCACTCCTGGTGGTGGTAAGCCCCCCCCCCGGGACCCCCCCCCATTTTTTAATGCCCCCCCCCGTTTTAATGTGCCCCCCCCCTTTTTATGTGCCCCCCCCCTTTTTCTTCTCCCCCCCCCATACTCTCCACTGGCCCCAGGCTTTGCCACGTCCCCCCCCTCCCCAACGTCCCCAGGTGTCACCTCGCCCCCCCATCACCCGCTTTGCCCCCCCCAAAAAATTCCCAAATTGCCCCCCCCCCAAAAAAAAATCCCAAATTGCCCCCCCCCCCACGCCCAAAGCCCATCTCCGGCCCTCCAGCTGGATCCAATTTGGGGGAAATAAAAAAAGAGCAGGGAAAAAGGGAGGGGGGGGGGGATAAAAGGGGGGGGGATCAGATCCTGGCCCCCCCAAATCCAGGGGGGGTGCTGTGGGTGAGGGGGGGGCACGGACACCCCCGGGGGGGGGCGCAGGGTGGTGGTGCTGGCAGCCAGGAGCAAGAAATTGGGGGATTTATGGAGGTACCAGGCTGGGGGGGGGGGGGGGGCTGTCTGTCTGCCCCCCCCCAGCCCCATAAAAATCTGCCCCCCCCCCTCACTGCCCCCCCCCCAAAAATCAGGGGGCTCCGGGCTGCACCTCAATACCCCCCCCCCCAAGGGGTTCCCCTTGGGGCATGGTTTAGGGGGGGGTGGGGATGAAATGGGGAGCGGGGGGGGAGGGGGGGTGATTTTTATTTTTTTTTTTGGGGGGGGGGGGGCGCAGGCAGCGGGGCCCCCCCCGGGCTGCTGCAGCCCTGATGTAAAGCCCCAGGAATTTGGGCTGCGGCCAGCTCCGAGCGACCTGTTTCCAGGGCAAACACCGCAGCCTGGGGGGGGGGACACGTTCCTCATGGTGGGGGGGGGATATTTTTTTTTTTGGGGGGGGGGGGTCCCGGCCCCCTCCATCCCACCCCACGCCAGGTGCCACACAGCCCCACAATCCCTGCGCCCCCCCGGCATCACCCAATTGCTCGCCCAATTTGGGGGTCTGGGGGCTTTACAGGGGGGGGGTCACGGGGATTTTTTTTGTTGGGGGGGGGGCTGATTTATTCTTTTTTTTCATGTCCCCCCCCGCCCCCCCCCCCCAGCGTCTTCTGGGACCTGTACTGCGCCGCCCCCGACCGCCGCGAGACCTGTGAGCACTCGAGCGAGGCCAAAGCCTTCCACGACTACGTGAGTCCTGCTGGATTTTTTATTGGGGGGGGCACACACATGGACGGACCCCCCCAC